CTTTTATGGAGAGCTTACGCTCCAATCGTATGCTGATGTATGCAATCGGAGCTTCAGCGACGTTGGTGATCCTTCTGTCCACGGGCCTGGCGCCCGAACTGACGGAATTCTTTGAGATAATTGATTTCCCAGTGGAGGTATGTATTTTTGAATTTTTTTTTCGTCATGTGTATTTAATGCTTTCGTTTTTAGTTCCGGAAAACGTTGGTCGGGGTCTTGGTCCTGGATATTTTAGGGGCCTTCCTTTTGGACCGCATTTGCTCATTCCTGTTCGGGGAAACGCGCCGCAAATCCAAAGTGCTGAACTGCTAGGACCTTTTAATATTAAGCACTAAAAAAGGAGCCACTTCCGATGAATAGATAAAACTTTTATTTTTATTTGTATCCCCTAATAGTAAACAACTTAACGCGTTTAATGACGTCGGTTTCTTACATCTTTAAATTTCGCATCAAAGAATCAACTTAATGCATTTAGAGTGTATTATAGGGCAAATGTATTATCAAGCAGCCTATATCATTTTAATTTGACAAAGAAAGAACTTTCGATATCCTCGGCTCCCGTATATGCGAGTAGCAAAATTGTCGGAATATTTGTAATGCTAATAAAAATAAAAAATTGAAGGAAAGTGGTCAAACTAAAAAGGGACAAAAATTACCTTAGTAAAATGCATTGTAACTAAGAATGTAGAGGTTTAATCTTGTCATTGGAGACTTTCAAAACTAAAGGTTCAAAGTACCACTTCCAGTAAATTGTCAAAAAAATGCATAAAATCGAAAAGTTGGTACATTGACATTAGAGCCCTGCATGAATCAACAGTTTTCGAGACATTTTACGTTTCGAAACATTTTCACAGTAAGGCCTAGTACTCACTTTAATCAAAAAGCCTACGAAATGAAAATCTCCGTACAAAATTTTGAGAACGAAATTTTCCGCCTGTCATTTTTGTATAGAAATTTTCGTTTCGTTGGCTTTTTGATTGAAGTGAGTATTAGGCCTTAGGGTGGTACTCACTTCAATCAAAAAGCCTACGAAATGAAAATCTCCATACAAAATTTAGATAACGAATTTTTTTGCCTGTCATTATCATCATTCATTTTCACATCTGTGTTATGTGTGTAGAATTCTCTCTAAACTGTAAACTTAATTTTCAGTGCTTTCCATAATCTCAAATATTTGAAATAATTTCATCAAACAATTTGATTTTAATTTCAATCGGATATTGTGTTTTCCTTTTTTAACTTTGCTCTAAGCCCTAAGTCATCCCACAAAACAAATCCCATAAATATATAATCGAAGGAAGGATTTTATGTAATATCAGCGCAGGACCAGTTCACTCTAGGATGTGACATATGTAAGTGTGTTATGGGCGTATTATCCTCGAGATACATGAAAAATTATCGTTGTCACACCTTATCCGCTACCAAAGCACCCACACAAGGACAAACTCCAGTTCGCACAAACACATCTACCAATTTTTCCACCCTTAATGAGGGATTGCAATTCAATTCGGCTCGGGCTATTGCTTTTTTTTCGTTCCCAGCTTTACTTTACTTTTTTGGGGGAGAGACTAATAGCGAGAGAGTGCTAAACGGGCACGCTGTTGCTTTCGGCCCACGCCTCACTGTGGGTCAAGACTGGAAATTAACCTATGGACATACAAAAAATGTATTTTTTTTATTTTAATAATTTTATTTATGAAAAACTGGCAGTTAAGATGATGCATGGTATCTAAATTATTTGTTTCCCCTGAACAATTATTGCATTTAATAATCCTTATCAGATACTAGATACTCTCCACTTAGTTTAAGAATAGTATAAATAATTAATTATTATTATTTAAATATTATATTTTTAAAACGTTTTTATTCGACGAAGTTCAAGCGTGGCTTTGTGCTTCTAATGATAATGGACCCACTGTGTGGTAATGCCTGTGACGTCACGGCCTTAGCTTTTGGTTTAGCTCACTCCGACAGATACAGACACACCGAGAGATAGGAGGGAAGGTGAGAGAGCCACTCTTATCAGCAGCGGCATCGACAAATCGAAGACAAAACAAAACCCGTCATTAATCCCGCAGAGAAAGTCGAGCGCATCGCTTATCGCACAAAATGCTGCCGCTGCTCCTGGTTTTGGCGTCTCTTGTCAGGATCCACGCCCACTACACGAGCGGGGATGTTGTCTACCACCCAATGCCCCACTTTTGGACGGGTGTGGGCTTCTGTCCCGCCGGCCGGATCGATCACAAAGGGATTAACGCCGCCCTGGGCGATTCGGCGCTCCGGATCAATCTTCGCCAGATTTCCGCACTGCCCGTGGGCGCGGTGACCCACATTCGCATCCACTGGCTGCTAGAACTTGTCGAATTCAGGGAGTACGACCCAAGTGGAATTCCGATTTATGATTTCTCCAAGTTCGACGATTTCATTGATTTCCTGTACGAGGAACTGCGCTTGTCTCCCGTTATGGAATGGATGGGCAATCTGGGTGGGGTTTTTTCAGAAAACCCCCTGCATCAATCTTTCTACTGGGAGCACTTAGTTAAGGCCACGGTGAACCACCAGTTGGGTAAAATATATAAATAAATTTAAATTTAAAAAAAATAGTATTTAATTTCCTTTTTATCCAACAGCTCGACACGGCTCCTCCAGATTAGCAAACTGGCGCTACGAAACCTGGAATGAACCGGATCTTCGGGGGTACAACAAACTCAATTTCTCGGATCAATCATACCTGGATTACGTTCAAGCCGTGCGCCGAGGTCTAAGTAAAGCCGGAAACATGGATGCCCAAGATGGAAAGCTCCAGCTGCCCATGTATCGGTCCTTGCGAGGTCCTGCGGGACTTTTTAAGGACCCCAACAATCATCCGCTCTGCTGGAAGCTTTTGGAGCTATGTAGCCAAAGGGTTGTGTATTGTCCCATCGATGTCCTCACCTTCCATCAAAAGGGAATTGAAGGAACTGCCACGGAGATTGTTAATGGTTCGCTATCCTTAATGGCGAAAATCTACGAGGAGTATCCCAATCTCAAGCAATTGCCAGTGGCCAATGAGTAAGATATTTGACTGTATAACGACTTTTTATTAAAAAATCGTATTGTTACTAAATCAATCTGAATTTTCCTTCGTTCGGAAAAAATTACCCGTGATTTAAAAAATTTAAACCAAGTTAAATTGAATATTCTGCCTAATACCATATGCATTTACAATTAAATACAACCAACAATATTCAAAAATTCAAACAAAAAAAATGGAATCAATTAAAAATACTTTCTTTGGAGACATGGAAAAGAAAATAATTTGTAAAGAAATACCATAATTAAACAGAATTGATCTTTCCCATCTCTTAGTGAGGCTGATCCTGTTGCTGCTTGGAGTACTCCACGAGAGTTTCAGGCGGATGTTCGGTATGGAGCCACATTGATTTCCACGGTGATGCAGTTCTGGCATGCCAAGCTAGCCGACGGTCCACTAAGCAGCTTGGAGTCGATTAGTAACGACAACGCCTTCCTGAGCTACCATCCCCACGAGTTCACCCAGCGCACACTCCTTGCCCATTTTCGGATGAACGGCACTAAGCCACCGCACTCGCAGTTCATCCAGAAGCCAGTATACGCTGCTCTGGGAATGCTGGCGAAGTTGGGCAGCCGGGCTGCGGATGTTGAACTGGTCAACATGGATAGCAAGCACAGCGTGGAGGTCCTCCGTACAGTTTCCGATGGAGTGGGCGGGCCTGGACAGTACATGGCCACCATATTCCTAAGTCCCGAGGATGCGGGTCCAAAGATGACGGCCTTCCATCATAAGTACACGCTGAACATGTCGATAGCGAACGAGTCGGCCTTTATAACGGAGCTCCTGGTGCCGAAGGCCACAGACCCGTACTACCTGTGGAAGCAGGCGGGAAGTCCGGTGTATCCCAACGCCACTCTAAGGGAAGCCATGCGAAAGGCGCAGACTCCTAGGCTCTACAAGACGGGACCGATCTGGCAGTACAACAGCGAGCTTGTGATTAATTCCGCCAGTATTCCTCTGCCCTGGGCGATGCTGCTCCGGGTGTGCTCCGCATCGTGGCCCAAGCTGCGCCGGCCGCAGCAACTCTCCATCGCAGAAGTAACCCACCGCGAGGTCTTCATCAGCTGGATGGAGCACCCCAAATCCACGCAGTGCCTTCTTAGCTACGAGGTGTGGTTCAAGGAACGCGACAACATGGGCCACTCCGCTGACTGGCTGCTTATCTCCCGCGGCTGGCACCTGCCATATCCGTCGTTTCAGTACGCGCCCGAGGACAAGAGGTCCGTCAATGGTGAGTAGGGCAACATCTGGTTAAAGTACATCCTATCTATTAGATAGTATCTACATCCTTTCAAGTCAAACAAATCTTGTTTTTATAATCGTTATATATGCTAAAAGAACATTTTAATTAACATATGAATTTTATTCAATTTAATTTGTTTGACAAAACACAAAAAAGCCATTGCTTGAAATGGAAAGAAATTAAATTTAAAAGGAATTAACGTATATATTTATAAAACTCATTTCTTTACATTCGGCGACGACCCTAAGAAAAGTAAACCCCCATAATAGCTTACCAAGACTCTTTCAATTGCTAATATCTTCGACAGGTTTCTATAAGGTTCGTGGAGTGGATGTGTTTAATGAAACCAGCCCCTATTCGCAAATAGTCGAATATCTGGAGTTGTAGCTCAACAAACCGTTTATGAATCAAAACAACATATTTAGGCAAAGTGAATGCAAACATAATCAGGTTTCGGCTAGGCGCTAGTGAACCCCTCCTACTCTCTATCTGTCTCTTTTGGAATGGACTGACTTCACCGGCACAATCTTCTAGACTTGCGCCTTCGCCTTAACGCCGGCAATATCATATATACATTATATATAAATAGATATTATTATATATATAGATATACATACATATATAGTACATTATCTGTGTTGTGTTCGTAATATATAAATGCCTGTATCCTGCGAAAGAATTGGCTAAAGCGCATAAAGATATATTTAGTTCCCTGTGAGGGATATTTACAAAGGAATAAATTAGTAACTTAATCGAGAACACCTGCCAAGAGACGTACTCAAAGAAAGCAATAGATTGTTTTCTTTGCTTTAAGCAAATTACTAATGATCTATGTCGTGTTCAGCCCTAGGCGTCCAGGACCAGCCACTTTTCGTTGATGTGCTCCATTTGCTTGGTAAGAATGGGATTGCGAACGCGTACTTTAACCTCCAGTTTGCCTCCCACTTGCTTACGGCCATCCATTAGCTATTACGGAAGAAATATCAATTATTTTCGTTTTTTGTTTATTTTAAGTACTATGTACTTACATCATAGGTATCGTGTATATCACACTTGGTCTCCAGCGGCTGCAATTTAACATTTACGGTTCCAATCAACGTATCCGATCGCAGGAACCCTCTGAAACAACATAGGGGCAGTTTACGACTTAGTCCACAACAATCTATACTGCAGCTATTTAAATGCACGATATTAAACGCGTAGCATTGGATGATGTTTTTGCGATTTGTTGGGAGTTGAAGCGTAAAGATTTTGAAAAATATTTTATTAAAATTTTCCACATGGAAATCAATGAAGTTAAATGGCAATACATATATGATGAGATATATGTGCGCTGAAGCCGTGACTGGTACGATACTGTTTACGGGACCAAGGAATCATGCTAACTACGGGAGAAAATCAAATTAATTGAACATAATTTGGAGGAACTTAAACGTAATATTAGGTAGCAACTTATTTATCAAGCTAGACATAAAACAAAACTATATTAAAAATCAGGGACCGAAAATAATGATTATTTTTTTTGAGTAAAAAATAAAAATCTCCATTTAATGATTATTTTGTAAGCAAAAAAAATATCGCTCAGAAATAATGATTATTTTGTGAGCGATATATTTCGCTCAAAAATATCACTCAAAGTGGGATTGTATCCGTCCTACGCGGAATTTTACAAAGATTTAAATGTGCTCTTGTAGGTAGAACCACGGAGCACATATTCCGTTAAGAAAAAGATAAATTTTCTTTGTATAAACCGCTTAAAAAAACAAATAAAATCTTTTTGTATAAAAACACTTTCTGTGGGAATCGAACTCGTGCTTACAGCTCGGTGGACCAACACACTAACACCCAGCCCACATGTCGGGTTGGATCTAAGTGGAATAGTTCATAACATCTTGTTAAGTCGTTTTACTAATAAATAAATGACATAAAGTTCTAAGGTTGATACAACGTGTTGTATTTAAGCATACCTCATGTCAACTAAAAACCGCGTTTTAAAAAGTTTATACAAAGAAATCACCTGCTTTTATTAACTCGATGTGTGCTCCGTGGTTCTACCTACAAGCAGAAATTTAAAAGTTTGTAAAATTCCGTACAGAACGGCTGTAATCGCACTTTGAGTGATATTTTTAAGCGAAATAATATCGCTCACATAATAATCATTATTTCTGAGCGATATTTTTTTCGCTTACAAAATAATCATTAAATGGAGATTTTTATTTTTTCACTTATAATGATTACGGTCCCTGTTAAAAATATAATAATGTGGTATTGTCAATATTTTAGATCTGTCGAATATCTTAAAACACTACTTTCAATAATTGCTTTTTTTACATTTTGTTGTAATACCGAATCTGTTTTACAAAAACAAAGATCCTCAAAAAAAGATTCATAAATATTGCCTTTTAACACTTTTAAAATAGATCAGGAGATTATATATTTACTACCCCTCTCCAACAATAGCTTGTACTCCTTAGAAAGTTAAGGCGCTTGATTAAAAACATACACACCCTCTGTTAGTTGAGATTAATATGCATGGAAAGCGACTTAGTTCGGATTAAATAACTGTGCTCGTTTGGTTGTTATTTACGAGCAACTTACCCTCTGGAAAATATTTCAAATTTGACGCCATGGCGCTTAAAGATTCTCTGGAACTGGCGATTGGCTCGCTGAATGTCGACCTTAAAGCGTTCATCGTAGTCAGGGCTGCTGGTGTCTCTAATAACATTGGTTTTATTCTTAAAAGATTCATCCTAGGGAAGATAAATTAAAAATTAAAGTAATTTTCAAACAAAATAAATAATTTAAGTCATTAGCTTACATTTAATAAGGGGAACTCTACGCGGACATAGGTGTCTACATCCTTGGGATTGGCAACATTATAGTTGATTCCCCGAACCACAACAATTTCCAGCTCACAGTCCGTAAGGTCTGTATTGCAATGTACAATGTTAAAACTACGCTTCTCATAGTGGAACTTTGGCAGTGTCTCATTCTTTCGTTTGGAGTATCGCACTAAGTCCAAATCCTTCTGGACTGTTAGAGCCAAATTTTCGAAACGATTCATGCCTGCCACATCCCCCATGGCCTTGTGATGATCTCGGGTATTTTTGCACATCATCAGCTGCTTGGCCAGCTGTTCCTCCATGCGAACACCAATCTCGCAGATGTCATCACTCGGATCGCATTCTTCAGCGGACACTATTGCAAAGGATGCTTCCAGATTGTCCCTTTGGGAGGGTGGCACTGGAAGCTATAGTGGAATGGAAAACTTAATCATGTTAAATGAAAAAATACCACACGAATCTTACTGTGCTGAGATCGACTGGCAGTCCACTACTGGCAGCATTAAGGAGCGAATCGAATCCCTTGTATATCTTGAGGTACTCCTTGGCCTGGTCGATCTCTCCGGCTTTTTTAGCCTCTATGGCAGCCAGCTTAAACTCCTTTTGGCGCTCGAGGAGCAGCTTCATCTGCTGTTCGGCAAGGTTGTTCTTCTGCTGATTGCCAGACGTGCGTGTGGTCAGCTCCTTGGCTTGGGGAGGTGAGGGCGCTTTACGAGGAGCTGTGGGCGTTGATGCACTGGAACCAGATGGAGTTCCTCCGGCGAAAGTACTCGTCGTTGCAGGAGGCGATGTAGGGGAAGTGGGAAGCGATGGTGCCGGTGTAGCCGTGGTAGGATCCCCCGTGGGCAGGGGGCCAAATCCGGGTGGCACAGGCAGTTCATCGTAAGGCACAGGTTTGCCCGCCTTGTACAACTTAATGGCATCTTCGTATTGCTTCACAATCCTTCCAAAGCGTCTTGCCTTTCCTGTATTGTTTTCTGCCTTGGCTGCCGCTTCAACGGATTGGTATTTCTCTAAACGTTGCTGCAGCGCCTCCGTCATGTTTGCAGCAGTAGATGGAGCGGGTGCAGGAGCAACAGGTGCAGGCGCTGGCGCAGGAGTGGGCTCTGCGACAACTTCCGGAGCTGCTCCTCCTTGCATTTTTTTGAGAAATTCCAAGAACTCGGCTGGCGGAGGCGGCATATCGCTGAGGTCAACTTCCTGTCCGTCCTCACACATCTTCACCACGACATCGAACTGTTTTACCACCTTAAGGAACTGAAGGGCAGTAGCCGTGTCACCACTGCGCTTGGATTGCAATGCAGCAGCCTTGTATTCGATCTGGCGGCTGCGCATGTGTGCCACGAGGGGATTCGGAGGCGTGGTGGGTGCCACTGGCGAAGAGGGAGTCGGTGGAGCGGGAGCTGCACGACTTGGTACAGGGGGAGGCGAAGCAGGAGTCGAAGGAGCTGGTGATTCCTCTGCAGCCACTGGAGTACCCTGCCCGCCAGCTGTCTTTACACTAACTTCCGGAGGAATATCATCCACGTTGATAGACTTGCCGGCTGTTGCCTGCCTATGTAGATCCTGCAGGGTCTTCAGGCCCCTTCCAAACCGCCTTGCCTTGCCCGCATCGCCAGCAGTCTTGGCACTCGCCTCGGCCAGCTTGTACATCTCCAGGCGCTGCTTGATAATGCCTAATGTGTCCACAGTGGTGGTGGGCAGGAAGGTTTGAACGGGCTCCTCGTTCACGGCTGGTGGTTCGCCTGCAGGCTCCTCTTCCTCCACCTCTTCTGCGCCACCAATTCCGCTCAGCTCGCCCAGTAGTTCTGAGTCGTTTTCCAGATTGTCATCATCATCATCGTCGCTGACATCGCGCAAGCTGTCGGCAATCATTTTGTCCAAGTCGCTGGCGGGGAGCAGCTTCGCCTTGGGTTTGGGTTTCGGTCTGGCTCCACCTCCCCCGGCAATGGCCGCCAGCTCCGCTTCCAGATCGCTGTCGCCCCCATCGTCGTCCCCGTATCCAGCGCTGGGATCGAAGTCATCTGGGATTTCCGTAAGTCCAAACTGGCCGCATGAAACGAGAGTGAGGGTGCAGACGATGACTCATAATTAATAAATAGACGGATGCAGTCTGTTTGTTTTTTCTCCCACATACCTGCGACAAATCGTGCTGCCTTCGCTTTGCTGGCTCTGGCTTCTTTCTGGCGAACATCCTAGAATATTCGCAGGCTATAAAGTGACTAAATAGGTCTCTTAGGCGTTTCAAGTCCTTTAATTAATTGCGCCGCAACCGTTCAGACGCAGACAACAATAACAGAATGGTTGTGGGGATCTCCGAGTATGAGTGAGTACGTGACGTCACTGCAAATCAAAATACCGTACCGCGCTGCCAACTGATTTTTTAGAGTAACGCGCTGCCAACGGATTTTTTACACTACTACCCACTACTCCGCCAGCTGACTAATCGATATCGCCACCTATCGATATCGAGAGCCAGCGCACACACAGTGCAAAAGAGTTTGCGAAAAACCTGCACAAAAAGCCAAATTGATTGCAAATCGAGCAGCTTGAGGAAGCAGGAGTTCCCCCTTGACCAGTGCCGTGGAGTGCTGAAACCACCGTGGCCGCGGAGGCACCGAGAAGCTAGCGAAAGGCTCGCCGTGGAGTTCTCCCATCTCTTTCACCTCCTCCAACTCCGTCTTGGGGGCCGAAGGCAGAAAATTAGCAGAGAGTTCGAGACGAGCAGCGCGGGCAGCGGGGACTGGCACTGGCCTGCTGGGCTAAGCGTGGAAGTAAACAAACGGATCGGATTCCGGGTCCGAGTCGGAGGAACGGGGCGTGGCTCGCTAACCAGGCGGCTTGGCAAACAAAAAACCGGAGGTGGCAACAAGTAGGCGGCAGGCATGGACGTGTCCCTCACCGAGCCCGAGACGCGCTTCTACAGTGAGTTGTTCCAATGCTGCGACGTGGAGAAGACGGGCAAGGTGCCCATGCTGAAGGCCACCGAGCTCTTTCGCTCGGCAGACATCGCCAACGAGACAGTGATTGAGGTAGGTCCAATTCCAATTCGTTCGCGATCGTGAGTGATTAATCAACTGGCCTGGGCTTACAGATCACCGGCCTGGCGGGCATTCCCTCCACGGCGCTGCACATCTCGCGGACGCAGTTCTACTCATGCCTGAAGCTGATCGCCGCCCACCAGGCGGCCATGCCCCTGCGCCAGGAGCTGATTTTGGCTACGTTCTCGCTTCCGCTGCCTCACTTTAGCTGGAAGGAGGCGGTCACAGCTCCGGTGGCCGTTGAAAACGGATTGGCCGCTTTGCCGCCGCCGCCGCCCACAGATCGCAGGAACTCGCTGCGTCGCAACTCGCAGCAGGAGCAGCTGCAGGACACCTCCGATGTGCCCAGCACCGACTCTGAAGTGGAGCAAAACGAATCCGTGGACGAGGCGGCTGGCCACGGACGCGGCACGGATGGCAGTGGGGCCGTCAGCAGCAGCAGTCGCGAGAATGTCGGGGTTCGTACCTCTATCTTATCATGTGACACATGCTAATAGGCTTCTTACTGACCGATCCGCGTCCAATTCTTATCTCTGTTCAGCGACGCCGAGGGGGCGGTGCTGGTGGTGGATCCCCGGAAGCCTGGAGCACCAACAGTGACAGCCCCACGCCCACGAATAGCGTGGCCGAGCGGCCCTGGGCGCAGGACACCCTCTGGCAGGGTTTGCTGGGCGACGAGCACCGCCAGCTACTGGGCACGGAGGAGGAGTCCTCCGATCGCCACAGCAGCGATGACGAGGACAACGAAAGTGAACTGGTTACCATCTACCAGATAACCCCTGAGCAGCGAGAGTACTACAACAAGCAGTTTCGGACGGTGCAAAGGGATCCGCATGGACTGCTCTCGGGCCAGGCAGCAAGGTGAGTTCTGAGGACCTATATTGATATTAACCTTTGGATTAAGCACGAATATTAATCATTTTGAATTATTTGCTTTAGAAACTTCTTTGAAAAGAGCCGCATTCCCGTGGAGGAGCTGCGCCACATCTGGCAATTGTGCGACGTTACACGTGATGGAGCGCTTAGCCTGTCCGAGTTCACGGCCGCCATGCACCTGGTGGTTCTGAGACGCAACAACATTCCGTTGCCCACTAGTCTGCCCCATTGTCTGCACCCAAACGTGCTCCAAGCAGCTGCTGCTGGCGGTGGACAAAGAGTTACCTCCTCGTCCTCAGCTGCGCTGCCTCAGGAGCCGCCTGAGGCCGATCTCCTGCACCTGAATGACGACGATGAGGATGACCACACGGACAATACGATCATAGCCGGCAATCTCAGCGGCGGCAGTTCCAGCAGCAAGCCGCGTCCCAACGTGCCAAGCGACAAGAACGTCATGAATCTGAGCAGCATCTCCACGTCCTCACAGGCGAGCAATAGTTCCAGGCGTGAGGCTACACCGCAGAATTCGCTGGCCAAGAACCGCAGCATCTCAAACTCACCAAGTGTGGATAAGTCAGTGACGGGAGCGGTTTCCTCTACGGCAAATGCTGTAGACTCGAGCAACGCCTCCAGCCAGTGGACAAAGTTCAGCGAATCTCCCACAACAAGTGCTGCTCCGGTGCAGTCAACCACTGGAGTGCCACCTGTGGCAGCCGCCGGAGCAGTCGCTCCTGCTGCCTCTAGTCCCGGGCTTAAGCCAGCCCTGTTCGACATGAAGCGCTCTGCCCAGGACGTGGTTTCCAATCCACAGATCCTGCACCCAGTGCCGCTAAGAGTGACGCCCATTGGTGAGTAAGAAAGGGCTTTTTTACTCTGACTCAATCGCACAATTATCTATTTATCCCACTTCCAGGCACCGCCATCGCCTCCTCCGCTGAGTCATCTAACGACAACGAGAGCGCTGTGGTTCTGCGCGAGGACAGTCCCAAGGCCATCTCTTCGACCACCGTCAACAATCAGTCATCGGGATCCGCTGTCCTAACTGGAGTATCGGGAGTCGCCGGCTCCCATCGCGATAGCAGCGATCTGCGTGCCATCCAACGGCCTCAGGCCAAAAAGCTGCCGGCCAAGAATAGCGCATTGCCACCGCCACCGCAACGCGAGCCGAGCATCGGATCTACTGGACCAAATGAGCCGCCGGAGCCGCAGACCGCTTACGTGGCGTCTACGTTGGCGTCCAAGAAGGACCCACCGCCCCTGCCGCCGCCGAGACCACATCGCCATGCGCGCAGCAGCAGTCTGGACTTAAACAAGTTCAAAATGGGCGTAACGGGCGGTGCCCAGCAGGCCGAGGTGAGTCATGGCCCATTTACCAACAATTTACGTAACTTGTATTTGTATTTAATCTGTGTCGTGTTAATCGCCTTGGTCCTTGCAGCCTTGCAGCCTTGCTGCCTCGCAGGGGAGGACATTACGTAGATTTAGTCTTGTCTATCCTCTGCAATGCTGCAGAGAAGAAACTGTGAAAAGCCCTAGGTTTCTGTCTGTCCCATTCCTGTCTCCTTTTTCTATATTTGTATCCTTGCAAATTATATTAGAAATCATTTCTGTTGTTTTTATTTTAAATTTTTGTCAACAAAGAACTAAATATAATTTTTGCAAGGATTTTCAAAACTTTTGGCAGCCGATTTGGCCTATATATTTATTTTGTTTTTATACTTTTTAATAACCTGTAACATGTATATAAATAAGCAACCCCACTCTTTGTTAAGATCACTGCGCAGGCCAGCTTCGATATGCAAACCTCAACGGGGTTTGCCGATTTCACGCACTTTGCCGACGAAGGCGCCGCGAACGTCGTAAGTCAAATCCTAAATGTATGCAACTCGTAAAGCATTCCACTTCAATTGGCCGTAGCTCCACTAGTGTCTTGTGTCCAAATTCAGTAGCCTAACTATATAATGCCCCATCCGTATTTCAATCCGACTGATCTGTGGTTAACTTGTAGGTGGACGAACAGCAGCTTCACTCTTTGCCACCGGCAGCACCCCCTCCACAAGCAGCAGTGGTGCCGCCCACGAGGATAACTCTTCAGCAAGCTCAACAGCGGGTTTCCGCCTTCGAGGTTTACCGGAAGCCGCAAACGCCGCGTGGTTCGCAGTCGCCACCCCAGCAGCCACCACCGCCGGCTCCAGCTGCGGGGGTGGCCTCCCAATCTGGCCAGCTGCCCAGCGCTGAGAGCTTTGAGAAGCGGGTGACAGCCATTAGCGACTCGCTGCGTCACGTAACCTTTAAACAGGGTCAGGCCAACACAACGGAGGTGCTGCAAAGACTGCGCGAGCAGAACAACTCATTGCTTCACCTTTGCAACGATTTAAGCGACGAACTGTTGAGCGTCCAGACGCGCAAGGAGGAGATGCGCCTGAAGTTGGAGGCACTCAGTGGCGGTGATAGTACTGGTCGAACAAGCTCCTCGGTATCGGCCCCGGTTACAGCGAACGTAACCGGTGGGTCCTCGGGTTCGGCTGGAGCTGCTTACAGCAACGTTTGAGCGGAGAAAAATGATCATGTTGCGGTGAATCGACTTGTTTGTTGGACAACTTGTGAGATACTCATCTGCCTTGTATCTTTGTTTATTACCCCTCAGCCAACCATTAGCATTCCTTATATTGTGTTACATTTTTTCAATGATTAATTTTTTCTTTTTTTGCATAGTAGACGGCATTACATTTTAATTTTGTTTAAAAACAAAACTACAACATTACCTATATCCTTAAAGTACTATTTATATAAAAGTAAAAATTTTGAAAAAAGTATAAGTAATCCTTTTAAAAAAAATGTATTTCCAATTTTGATACAAGATCAAAGGATACAAGATCAAAGGATACAGGATCAACGGAGAAGGAAAAAAAGTTGAGAATACATATACTAAAATTCGCTGGTTTTCCTATTTAAACAAATCGATTCACCCTTAATGTCTAACACTTATTTTGTTGTTTTTGTATGTTGCAAGCACAATTTACTAATCGGAGTGTTTACACAGCGATAAAACTGGGCAAATCTTGAGTAAGCAATCAAAATTTCCGAAATGTTTACGCAGTCTGTGGACAAACAATCACAAGATCTGCTTGCTTCAACATTTCCAGTGTTCAAGTTCTTAACTTAAAAGCTTGCCCAGTTTTAAATTGGTAAAAAAACCAACGATGGAAATGGTACAGCGTCCGTTTAGGCATTGAAGTTGCTAATTTAATTTGTAGGCTAGTTAAATCTCAAGAACTCAAACAAATCATGCGAGAACAACAACAATAATGCCGCCTCTATAGATATTTATGCAGACCGATTTATATATATATGTATGTATATGTATATGTACATTTAGAGATATATGTATATGCGCTTCTCCTAATTGTTACGAGTAAATGACAAACCGTTTTTTCGCTTGACAGCCCCCGTATCTCACCCTCACCCTAGTGATTAATGAAACTGCCACAAAGTGGTCCCATCCCAGCTGTAATATTTCCTGTTGCGAAGGCATTTTACTTTCCAATTTGCTATTTATTAATGTTTTGTGTATGCCTCTAAAATGTCCCCTACTATTCATTCCGGCAATGAAAACTAACAAAGAAAAAAATCACAAAAACAAACAAAAATTATAAAGCCAGGCTTAATGTTTAAGTATTAGAAAAGTCAAAGGTAAAAAATCAAAAACAAATTCATTTCCTTGGAAGCTTAGCTTAGGTTTTCAAAAGGTATATACATATTAATGTATTTTCTATTTGTATAGTGTACACGAAAACACGAACTACTTGATATTATGTACATTTACCAAAATTTCTTTCTACGACTAACGGAAAAGGAAATACGATCGAAACAGGAGACAAATTTAATTTACCCGGACCACTGAATGTGTACGTATATGCTAACTTCGAATTTATCAGATAGACCGGCATATATCTCACTTCTTTTGCATACTTAAGCCACTAGATGTATGAGTTTTTCTTCAACTTGTTAAACATTTTCAAAGATCTACCCACACACAATCACAAGACAAACGAAACAAACAAAATGTAATGAAAAGAAAAAAGTGATATTGAAACACTATGTAAACATATTATTACGTGGCTGCGTAACCAATGTGTATTGTTTTGATGGATATACATCTCTATGAATAAAGATAAATGTATTAAGTTGATGTTAAAATGCTAAAAAAAATGCAATAAAAACGAAAGAGCAACGGAAGTTTCAATTGATGGTTTTTGAAAAGGCGTTGCAGCTAGCGAACATCCCTGGCCCAAACAGACACAGGCATCGGGCCACCGATAACAGACGCTGACCGTTATCGATTGCCCCTGCACACGCCGCTACACATCTCTAGCGCTTTGCGGCATTGAGCAAAAATTTGCGAAAATTTGTGCGTTTACGAGGAACAGCTACCTAAATGGTCTAGTTTCGCAAGGTAACCGAACAATTGCCGCAGGACAGCGATTCCGAGTACCGGCTGGGTGCATTTATCAGGAGAAATCGAGGCGATACCAACTGCTGCAGCTGCATATTGATAGGGCAGGTTTGTGCGAGTCGCCCGTTGCTGGGCATAAACTGGCGAAATTAATAATGTGTACCCATGCCATTTCGCCTCCACCTGCAGTCAGCCGATGTGTCAATGTTAATCGCGCTCTTCGCGCTTGCACACTTGCCAATCTTTCGTAAGACGCCGCCCCCAGGCCCCTTCCCCCCGCCGCCGTCGTCTGTTCCCCGGTCGCCAAGGTGTGGCCGAGCGAGATCCGCGTACCACCCACCGCCAACAGACGTCTGCATCCGCATCCGTGCTTCGGCATTCGACGCAGCATCCGAGATGAGCGGCAGCGCCGACCTGGACAAGCCGATAGCCGCCAACGGCAATGCGGCGGAGCCACAGGACGTGGAAATCATGTGCGTGCCACTCAAAACCCATTATATCACCTTTGCCTTTGACACCATCGTTTTGTCCCCGCGTACAGCCACTTCCAGCCGCAGGAGCAGCAGTGCTGCCGCGTCATCAGGACCAACAAGACCAAGGTCCTCACCTCCGGCGGCGTCCACACACGCGGCTCCTCCAAGGTCAAGCTAAAGAACATCGTCGACTACAAGTGGGAGCGCAAGTACTACTACCCGGGTCATCTGGTAGCCGTCCATCGCGATGGCAAGCACTTGGCGTACGCTATTAACGGTGAGCTTAGTTTATCCGATGGGAATTTCATGACCAATTGGCTCTGACGGGCAACAGTAAAGAGGTTTGACCTCTTCATACATCTTAGGGAGAAACACAAGAATATTCGTAACCTTCTCCAAATGAAGATCTGATCGATGATTGCGAAGACGCGATTTTCATAACAAATAGTTATATCCTCGAATCCACAGGGAACTGAATAACAGATAAATATTTTACTTGGCTCGTAATCCGTATATTGTGTAGGTCATAAAACTAACGAATAACTAACGGATTGCACTGTGTTTCTAGTCAACAACAAAGCCACCGGCATGGAGGGCATGGTGCGCGTCTGCAACATCGCCAGCAGCATGCGCGCCCTGATCAAGGGGATGAGCGGCGAGGTCTTAGATCTGCAGTTCGCTCATACGGATCGCGAGCGCATTCTCGCCGTGATCGACGTCAGCTCCCTGTTTGTCTACAAAGTCGATCAAATCGAAGGCAATCTGCTGTGCAATCTAGTGCTGAAGGTGGAGGACCCAATTGCCAACTATGTGCCGGAGTACGACATGGTCTCCTGGTGCCCATATGTCTGCAGTAGCAACTCGACTGTTCCGATCAACGACGAGGACGATGAGAACCAGCTGCTCATTTGGTCGCGGAGCTCGCAGTTTCAGTGCTTCCAAGTCAAGATGATTGTCTCTGAGCATGGGGTTTGTTTGCGTTTACGTTTCTTGTAATCAAATACTAATAGCATTTATTTCCGAGCAGCGCGGCAAGATCCAACCGGCTGCCCTAGAAACCGGGTATCTGAAGATTGAGGAGGACTCGCTTATCACCTGCGCCGCCTTGTCTCCGGATGGCACTACCGTGGCCGCAGCTTGCGCCGATGGCTTGGTCCGCTTCTACCAAATTTATTTGTTCGATGTGCGCAACCATCGTTGCCTGCATGAGTGGAAGCCACATGATGGCAAAAAGGTCTGCTCGCTCTTCTTCCTCGATAATATCAACAAGCCTGTTGAAGAGTAAGTAGACAGAATTACTATAATCATTGGCTTATGTGTTAATGAAAAATTCGATTTAGTTCCTACTGGCAGCACGTTATCACTACGAGCGATGCCAATACCGAAATCAAATTGTGGAACTGCTCGCTGTGGGAGTGCCTGCAGACTATCAATGTAGTGGCAAGCAGTCCCTCGTCAGGTCAACCCGGAAACTTCATCGCGGGCATAGACCGCAGTGCCAGCTACTTAGTGCTTTCCTGCTTGGACTCTCTGGCCGTCTACGTAATGCAAATCGGCCACATTGCCAGTGAAGAATCCGGAGATAGAGGCAGCGATAGCGAAGAAGACGGAAGCGACGCCTCCAAACGCATTCAGAACGTTGCCGAATTCAAACTTAGCTCTGGCATTCTCTCCTTCTCTATTGTGAACGCCAGCATGCGTCGAGTAAAGAGCTCCATCGAGAGCTACTATCCTATCGAGGAGCCCGATGACTTCGACGACGATAGCAATTCCACCAGTGCGCTTGTGCTGCACATGTTTGTGGTGCAGGCAAAGAGCCTCCAGGAATGCCAAATCATTTACCAGCCGTGCGTGGCCGATAAACCGGAGCGTCGCAGCCTGAGCAACAAGCGGTCCGAGACGCCGGAGGACCATCTGCTAATCAAACAGGAGCCGGAATCTCCCAACACAGCCTCTGCAGGTACTGTTCAGCTGGACGCTTTGTTTGCCAAGTCCGCAAAGAGATCTTCAACCGGCAGTTCATCTGCCATTGTGGCAGTGGCAGCAGCAGCCGCTGCTGCGCCCTCCGCCATCATGCAGGACGCCTCTAAGGAGGCCGCCAAGTCCGAGTCCCCGCAATTAAGCAACACCTATCCGCAGCAGGTGAATCTCATGACCCCAGATGCCTTTAGTGCAAGCGGACCCTCTACGGCGACAACTGTGGTGGTAGCCACAAGCACCACGACATCCACAGGAACTGATAGCTCTGTAGCCGATGGCGGAAAGGATAGAACCATTGACTCGGCAGTCTTGCAAACCCTGCGCATGCTCGCCACGGTTACGTCCAAAACATCCGAAACCCCCAATGCGGATGTTCTCCTCAACCTTATGAACAACACGCTGATCGAGGACCGAGAGCAACAGAAGCTCAAGGAGAAGCTGGATGCGCGCAAGAAGTTCATTGCCATTGACCGAAATCCGGAGCGTAATGTGGCTGAAAACTTGGCCAGCGGGGGTTCAAGTCCGAGTCGCGAGGTACAGGAGATAATGGCCACTCAGGAGGATGCCGATGCCTATGAAGCGGAGCTAGAGAATCTGGACGACGATGATGACGATGAGGAGGAAGAGCTGGCGAATTCATCGCCGCTGTTGGAAGCAGTGGATGGAAACTGGCCCATAGTTAAGCTGCAATCCCTCGCCAACTCGGCTGAGCTGCAGAATGCTGCCCAGATCATGTCCCAGGCGGTGCAGAACACCAACAACGGGAATGTGCCGCCCACTCTTGGTGGCGGTAACAACACTAACACCAGTGCGGCCAGCAACAGCAACAACAATACGGCCACAACGCTGAATACGAGCAATAGCAGCAGCAACGATAATGCGGGCGGAGCAGGCGATAGCTCAAGTGGAAATGGAGAGCTGAACGCCAAGATGGAACTACTCCTCGGTCAGTGTTTATAAAATTACTTAAAAACTAATGATTACGCCAAAATGCAAGCACATGTAAGTAATATTAAGTGGAAATAATAGCACTCCCTTGGTTTCCTTGCAGATCTGGTAAAGGCTCAATCCAAGCAACTAAATAAATTGGAGAGCGAAGTCAGTAAACTACAAAAGCAACAGGAATTGGTGATGGCCCACCATAGCAAACAAGATGCCTCCTTGGAGCCAAAAAATGTTAGTCAGCTGGCATATAAGATCGAGATGCAGCTGTCCAAGCTGATGGAGTCGTACCTCAAGCGGTACGAAAACGAACACAAGAAGAAATTGACCGAATTCCTGGCGGCGCGGTAAGCTATCCAATAATTATGGGGAGCATAATCGTAAACCCAACAAATACCTCTTTCAGTGAGAGTCAAAATCGCGAACTGCGCGACTCTGTGCTACAGGTACTGAACCAGTACGTCATGAACCACTTTACGGACATCATTGGTAACGTTCTCAACATGGAACTTCAGCGACAACTACTACCGCGAGTGAATGCCAAGATGGATCAGCTGCAAGCCCAAATGCAAGTGGAAATTGTGCAAAAACTGGGGGTGTTTGACAAGACGGTGAAGGAGAATATTGCACAGGTGTGCAAGAGCAAGGTATGCGTGTCCAGAAACCCTTCTAAAAGAGTTCGTAATTGAGCCATATCTCTTATGCTAGCAATTTCTGGACACTTTTGGCAAGTCCGTGTTGATTGGTGTGCAAGCCAGCCTCCAAACCGCATTTATTGAGTCCATGAGCAGCACCTTGATTCCAGCTTATGAGAAGTCCTCGCAGAATATGTTTAAGCAACTGCATGACGCATTCAGCGTGGGCATAAAGGATTGTGAGTATATCAAACAAAATATTTCTTTTACATTACTTACTGATACTTTCTTTTTGCTTTCAGTCATGGTCCAGTTCAACACCTACCTGCAGCACATGCCTCAGCCTCAAGGGATGGGTGCCAACTCGGAGGAGCTGAATAACAAGTTAACCATGCTAAAGCAACTGGTCGAGAGCAGCCTGCATAAGCACCGCACTGAACTTACGGACGCCATGCTCGAGACCCAAAGAGAGGTGAAGAGCTTGGAGATTTTGCTCGCTCGCCAGGTCCAGGAAACAATCCGAGCAGAGCTGCGTAAGCACATGGAGACCCAGAACATGGCAATGCGTTCGCAGGCAGCTACACCGGCACCCCCGTACGACCTGAGGGACAGCATCAAGCAGCTTTTGCTCGCTGGACAAATCAACAAAGCCTTCCATCAGGCTCTGCTCGCCAACGACTTGAGCTTGGTGGAGTTCACACTCCGCCACACGGACAGCAATCAGGCTTTCGCTTCGGAGGGATGTAGGCTGGAACAGAAGGTTCTGCTGTCCCTCATTCAGCAGATATCCGCTGACATGACCAATCACAATGAGCTTAAGCAGAGGTGAGTTGGAAAAAAACAGCCAATTCATAACAATAGTCTATTGGGTTAAAAAAATGCCATATAACAGCAGTTGTCAGATTTAACTGGTTGAATAATAAGCCATTTATTTCCTTTTCATTTGCAGATACCTCAACGAGGCGCTGCTGGCCATCAACATGGCAGATCCCATAACCCGTGAGCACGCTCCCAAGGTTCTCTCTGAGCTATATCGCAATTGCCAGCAGTTCATTAAGAACAGTCCCAAGAATTCGCAATTCAGCAACGTCCGTCTGCTGATGAAGGCAATCATAACGTACCGCGACCAGTTAAAATGATATCAAGAGAACTACAACCTGGCCAGCGGGTGGTACTGATAGATAACCCATCCGACCCTGTCCCGGCACCGATCCCCATCCAAGATAGCTAATCTAGGACCACATACACATTTATTCATACACGCTTGTAGTTAAGTCCAAATGCAGTTCATTCCTGCTAAAAAGCTCTCAGCCAAGTTGATCCCTCAAAGAGTTAAAATTTAATATATGCCTTTCATTTAATTGTTTATTTGTTTTGTGCGTGTTTTGTTTTAAGTAAGGCCTTATAACTAATGTTTATGTCGCTATATCGAAAGTGTATTATTCTTAGAAAGAGTTGCCTACTAAATTAAAATATTATTTTATTTTTATAATTTAATTTCACTGATCTGCGAGCAGTTCATCAGTGATGCATTTTTAGTTTCGTTCCTTTCAATTTTTTTGGTCTTTTTTTATAATTATGACGCTTACTGAACAAAAGAAAACACAAACACTAGAAACTGAGGTGTAGAAACCTACTTAAAAATGATTTCCAAAACAAATAAAACTTTTGATTATGACGTACAACACAAACACATAATAATGATTGCAACTGCAAAAACTACAAGTAAATCGTAGATATTAAGCTAAGAAATTAAAAAGAAAACGAAAAATTTATAATAAAAAAGAATAAATGTATGTATGAAAAAATTGATAAATAGTGTTTGTCTAATGCCCACGCCACATATAGCTCTTACTTTTATCTTAGCTAGTAAATGGTCATATATTTATGAATGGTATGTAAATCGTACAAAAATCGTTTGCTTATTGACTAAAAAACGCCTATCTATTTTGATATCCGCAAGTATTAAAGTAAAATAGCTAGTTTAGAGATGATTGAAAAGCACTTAACGTGAGATCCTGCTCAGCTGAGTAGGGCTAACAGATCCGCCGTGCGCTCCAAGCACTTGCAGCCACAGGTAGCACACACCTTGTGTTTCTGAAATAAATGAAAATAAACATGTTAGCCTATATTATCAATTTTGTTGTGCTGGCAAAGAAAGTTTAAGTTTTTTATAGTTTTTTTCTATTAATAAAGTTATAACATTGTTATTAATAAACAATCTTGACTTTTTCAGTATTATTTAAGAATAAAATTAAATGTACGTAAAATTGGGAAATCTTTTGTAGTGAGGAATTGGAAAGCTACCCACCTCAAACCAGTGCATCATGTGATCCATGTGGCCGCCGTGGCCACAGGCCAGGCACGCGTTGGCTGCTCCCTTTACTGGCAAACGGCAGAGTACACAGAAGAGTACGGGTCGTTTGCAGGGCTCGCACTTAGGCGTGCGCTTGGGCTTGGCGCACGTTCCACACTCGGTAACGAACTCGACACCCTGGAGAGGAGGAGGCGTGTTCTGAGTGTGCTTGAGGATCAGGGCCCGCTTCGAGAGCAACTGCCAACCGAAGAGAATTTCGGCATAGACACGCTTGAATTGATCAAACAGTGGCACCTTGGCGCGTCTAATCAAGGAGCAAGCATATGCATCAGACTGCACTTGCTTCACTTCCATATCCAAAGAGTCGGACCAAGAATTGCTGCGGAGTTGCTTCAGTTGTTGCCAAGTGTTGGATGATGAAGAAGACTTCACGTCGAGCGGGAGCACTGTGTGATAGGGCGAAATTTGCGAGTTGAGCTGAGGCGGAAGTCGAACGGCCATCTCCATAATAGCAGCTCCTCCCGTAGGACACTTGTCGAACAAACAAGCCAGCAGGACAGCAGTCTGTATGTCGCCAGAGCTGGCATAATGCATAATCAGTGATTCTAGCAATGATTTCTTAAAGGGATCCTTGTAGAACAGCAGCTCATTGAGCGATTCATTAGGGACTTGTGGAGTGGCTATCAATTCCGCCAATAGCCACACCGGGACCAGGTCCAAGCGGCCATGCTTGCGGCAGAGCTCACCATTTCTACGGCACGTTTCGGCTATGCTAAGTTTATCCAGAGAAAACTCGCGGGCCATGCTTCGACTTATGTGGAGCAGGCTACTTGTGTCGTATACGTGGACAACGGGACTTCCATTCATCTGCCGGATGGCTCGCTGCTTTCCTGGCTTCCCCGAAATCATTCTCTCCTGGAGATAAAAGATGGCATCCCGCTGGGCGGTTGCCATTACATTTCCCAACAATCCACTACCATTAATCGATGAGAAAGTCCTCGGAGTCAGGGCTGTGTGTTGCCGCAGGGTTAGCCTCTTGTTGTTCACCGGCTGGGCGAACGTGGTCAGCATACCAATGGCATTGAAGTGCACCCCCGATGTCCGTGGAAAAGGAATGCAGGCATCGTGCAGGGTGCTGGACAGAGCTCCCTCCAAACGAGGGGATTGCAGGAGCAACTGGCTACGATCGGCTCCACCAACAGCTGCCACCTTTTTCTTCATGGCAGCCACCAGCGCTCGTAGACATTGTTCCAGGCAGGTGCGAGATTTTTTGACCCGTTGCAATGCATTGCAGCGCAGCACCTTGAGCAGAACGCCACTCACCTCGCTGGAAAGAGTGGTGCCTTGGCAGAATTGGAAATCCGGCGGAGCACTGGGACTAGGATACGAAGTGGCGAAGGTCACCTGCAAGATTACCGTATGTCCCCCGGCGCAAATCTTGAAGCAGGCGTACCGCTTAATGGCATCCAGGGTGTCCACCTCAACGTGTGGCATGTTCGTGTTGAGTAGCGAGAACTCGTGGTGAAGTGAGCACGTGGGCTGATCTGTCAGAGATCTGGCTATGTGCGGCTCTTCCCTGCGATAGTAACCGCCTCCAAAGCTGGGAGAGCGGGCCATGGGCAGCGTGTTGCATGCTCCGTCCCCCGTAGATATGGGCAACGAGGCGGCAACCAAAATGGAACGTGGGTGCAGGAACTCTGGAGGAGTAGGCACCCTCAGCTCACTGAGGTCGGCCTCGAAGCGAGATTCTTCTTCCTCCACAGATGGCTCGCAAAGCTTTAGCATATTATCGTCGATCTTCCATACTCTCAGGGTGCGATCCCTGGACCAGGTAACCAATTCCTAAGAAAAAATCCACGCATGAACAACAATAAATGATAGTTCCGACCCAGTACTCACTATTTCCGAGGAACTCTCGTGATTCGGACGCCAGGCGAAGTCAAGAATGACATCGGTGTGACCCACAAAGGAGCAAATAGGATCCGTTTGCTTACTATTGCTCCAGAGTAGCAAGCTATTCTCACCGCGACCCAAGTGGGGAACAACAATGCTCACAAGGCCATTGCCAATGGGCTGCATTACAGAGTGTAATTTTAAGGTGATTATATACATTATTGGAGATTTTACAGATTACCGTGTATCTCGCCCGCCACACGGGCGACATGGTGGTGATGATCTTCTCGGCCCTGCGAGGATTGCACACATCGAAGTACTTGACCGTCCCATCCTGGCTGGCGGTGGCCAAGCAGGTCTCTCTTTTGTGGCTCCAGTTGATGCCGTGCACTCTATTTAAATGGGCTGTGATGTAGTGTGTGGGGCAGCTACCCTTGCGGATGTCCCAGATGCGTAGATCTCCATCATGGGCAGCGGCCAAAAGGTTTCCAGAAACGCGGTTGAAGCCCACCTGGGTGGCACCAGCTGAAGGAGAGTTGCTTGTAATACGGAATCATTGAAGTTCCTTTACCGATACTTACACATGCAGACGGCATTCAAGGACAATGCCGGCTTCCTGGGTTCCCTCAAGTCCCAGATGTGGGAAAAGGTGTCTATCGAGCAGCTGACCAGCAGGTTGGGGTCCTTGCCGTGCCAGTCGATGTCGGTTACTGTGCGAGTGTGCCCCCGCAAGGACATCTCGTAGTGGGGCTCTGCAGTGCCCCAGCGCACGATGTCTATGTACTGGCTGGTCTGGAATTGGGAGGGAGTAACTTGGATTGATTACCTAGCCCCTTAGGAAGCATTCTTGTTTTCTCACCGCTATGGCGCAGTACTCTTTGCGACTCGGACATATGGCAAACTCCGCAACGGAGACCTCGTACTTGGACTGCCTTTCGTGGCGGCGCAGGGAACCGTCGTCCTGTCCCAAGCGCTGCAAGGCCAGGTGACCGCGTCCCGCGAGGAGCACCCACTGCCCAGAATAGTCCACCGACATGGCCGTGGCCTGGGAATCGCGATGCTCATAGTATTTGTTGCTTTGCCTGATCAGCATCGTTTGTTCAGGTCCCCCTGCTCCCGATCCTCCGGCTCCCGCGCGTTCCCCCGGACGCAGTGTCTCCGTGGGCGGCATTTTATCTACTTTGGTGAGTGCGCAATAAACATAAAATCTACAAATTTAATCAATTTTTGCAACAAACAAAAACAAAACGAAAACTGAAGTGATAAGAACCAGTGTTGCCAGATGAAAATTTGACTTTCCCCCTAAAAAATCTCAAACAGTCTATATTTACCTCTAAAAAAATCAGTAGGGGGATTCCCTAAACTGTTGAATTGTTGAATTTTGGTCAGCTGTTAATCAGCTGTTCCATACAAAGTCAACTTTCAGAAATTTCAGCAATTCATCAGCCTCGGGGCTGTTGAAAATTTTGTTGAATTGCTGAAAAGCCAGAGCTATCACCTTTTTTTAAAAGTCGTGGCAACTCTGTAACATTTTAGTATCACCAGTACGCATTATTTATTTTAAAATCAACTTAGAAAGCATATTTGTGGTTCTTTTTACCTTTAAAACACTTTTAAACAGTAACTAGCAATAATAAATCAAATTTTACATGCTTAAAGTTCCGTGAAATTTTTCAACAAATAACAGCTGTTAGAAAATTCAACAGGAACCATTTTGGGTCGTTCCCTTAATTGCTGAAATTTTTTGTTGAATTTTCAACAATTCAGCAATTCAACAGTTTAGGGAATCCCCCTAGTTTTCTCCCTAAATTAAAAGTTATTTAATTTCGAACTTGTACAATGAAATAAGTAATATCTCAGTATTACGTTGTAGAAATGTAAAGATTGGAAAGATCCGTGTTCTTTTTGAAATGTTTTATGAAATCAAAAATTTTAGTGCATTCTCCAAACATTTGGGTAATCAGATTTCCGAAAAAAACTCCTAAAATTTTCCCTAGCACGTCAAAAACCACTAAATTTAGGGGGAAAGTCCCTGATCAGGGAACACTGATAAAATGAACAATAACAACGAGGGCTGGAACAAAAAATCTATGTTTATTCCTGACCATCGATTATTGATAACCACTTACCAATCGGTTTTGAAAAATATATATAATTTCCCAAACTGTTGTTGATTCGTTGAGGCTGGACTCTTTTATATCCCATTTTCACAGAACGCTGCAAATTAAAACAAGAGAGAACGCTATAGTCGAGTGCCACGCCTATCGGATACCCGTTACTCAGCTAAAGGGAATGCGAGCGAGATGGAGTTATAAATCTTTGATCGCGCATAACTTTTTAACGAATAGTCCGATTTGATACCGATAGGTATTGATAAACACAATAAAAGTGCGTTTAAAAATCTTTAAATCTTTAAAGGTGTGGCCCTCGGCTGAAACAAACTTGCGCTGCGTAGGAAGCCCAAGAATATGTGTGGGTAATGCAGACTTTCTAGCTTTTGTAGTGTCCGAGATCTGAGCGATCATACGGACAGATAGACATGGCTAGATCGACTCGGCTAGTGATCCTGTTCAAGAATATATATCCTATATAGGGTCCGAAAAGCTTCCTTCTCCCTGTTACATACTTTTGCACGAACACAATATATTCTACGAGTTACGGGTATAATTATAAATAACACTGGTCTGCGGTCAAAAAACACCAAGATTTTCAAATCGGACCATTCGTTAAAAAGTTATGCCCGATCAAAGTTTTATATCTCTATCCCCCTCGCACTTCCTTTAACAGAGTAACGGGTATCTGATAGTCGGGGCACTCGAATATAGCGTTCTCTCTTGTTTTTTATCAAAAATATTTATTTTGCTTCAAGTGTCATTATATTACTCGAAATTAAAGATAACCAATTGAAAAAAAGCAGGGACCGTAAATAATGATTATTGACCTATTTTTTGAACCAAAAAATCAGGCACTTAGGATCGACATACGCAAAAAAGGAAAACACCATAGTGATCCTCATTGCTTAATCTATTCATATTCGCCATGATTTTTATTTTTGGGATTTTTATACTATTCTTCAAAAATAATCATTATTTTTGAGTTTTAAAATAAAAATCAAAAATAATCATTATTTCTGATCAGAAAAAATAAAACTTAAAAATAATAATTATTGTTGATTTTTATTTTTTTCGCTCAGAAATAAAACTCACTTGGACGCCACGGCTTTTCTGTGCCGATTTTCGGCGTTTTTTTTGCATAGTCCTATGTAGCGAATGCAGACGTACCACCTCTGAAAAAAAAAATTGAACTTGGCTTCTGCATCCCGTTAAATGGTATCATTCTTATAGTCAGTAAAGGAGATACTTCTAGCCTTTGTTTATGTTTATGTATTTAAACAAACATTATGTTTATGTATTTAACCATGGATTGCAGTCGAAATGCACTTTTCTTTCTCTCTTAATCTACACGAAATAATTAACCAATGAAGGCCGCCAGCTCGACAATACATACTGGAGCAACATTTAACAAAGTGCCACCGCTGTTTGAAATCTCTAAAATCTAAAGAAGCATTGTCCCTTATTCTTAAGAACAGCTTATCCTCTTCTTCTCAAGAATTCGCGGCTTTTGCAAAACTAATTTAAATATCAAACCATGTATAGAAAAGGGTTTTAGGTAAGTAGAAATTGGTTAACAAAGTCTGCAGTATAAGTTGTTCTTAAGAATACGCGGTTCTTAAAAAATCGATTTCAGATACGTTTTTATTCAGGAATTAAGTAATCAGCACAACTTTCCACCCAAGAAAGACAAAATTGGTAATAATATTAAAACAATTATATCGTGTTATTTTATTTTAAATAGTATTATTATTTAAATATTTTAGTTAATTATTATTTAATTTGACAAATAGAAGCATGGCCAAGGACGAGCTTTTTATGTTGCACCTATTGTCCGTCAGCATCATTTTCAGTGCTGAAAACGATCTCTCAACACTAACTTGCGTTGCAGGTACAGCGTGTACGACTGTGGCCAGTTGATATAGAATTGGGTAGCGCAGCTTATTTTCTTCCCAAAACTTCATTATGTCTGTATCCAAGCTTATAGGTTTGGGAAAATAGCTCTCGATTTCTGCAAATCCTTTTTGTACTACTTCATTTTGATTAAATTCCTCTTCTTCTCCAGAGGCGGCTTCGATTCCGTTTAGGAACTCATCTAAGAGCAGGGAAGAGCTAGAGTTATTAGGTGACTCGTTTGTTAAGGTCGATGCTATTGTTGATGTCGTAGCCAGTGACGTTGTCGAAGTTAGTGATGTAGTTAAATCCAGTGATGATGTCGAAGCAGGGGATGATGTCAAAGCCAGGGATGAGATTGCTCCTTCAGACGTCGAATTAGTCTGCAAAATAATATAATGTAAGATATAAAGCTCTTCTAAATTTAATTACCTACTCTTTTCAAATTTAATATTTGAAGCAAAAGTTGTTTAAGATTGGCTCTGGCTAGCATAACACTTGTCGGATTTTTTAATAAAACTCTTCGAATGCGTGGATCCAAATAGATACTAGATAGAATCATTTTGTCTTCTATTATGCCATCTTCCCTCTTCTGGATGCATTGGTATAAATCTCTGCAGAATGTTAGTTGGCTTGCTGCGACTGTTAACTTAAGCTCAAGCCAGAGCTTATAAAAATCGCCAAGGAATAATTGGCTGGATTGTAATTTTTGAGTGGCTAGGTATGCCGGCTCCAATGCTTTTGTCAGATTTTTCAATTCGCTCCACTCTGTTGCACTTAGCTTAACTGAGGACTTTAAATGTCGCTCGCAAAAATGTTCAAAGGTTTGGAGCCTCTGCAGCATAAGATATTTAGAACTCCAACGAGTCGGAACATCCAGATCCGGTTTTGATAATGCTTCTTCTTCTATCAAGTAGCTTTAATTGAAAAAGAATTGAGAATAAAATAAATTGAGTATATATTAAAAAACGCACCTGAATGACGGGGTTCGCAGAAGCTTGACAATATTTCGTGCTTTGTCAATAAATGGAACTGATCCCAAGCGATCAAAGAAATCTTTAATTGCGAGCTGAAGAGTATGAGCTGCGCACTTAATCGAAACTATTGAATGGATATTTAAATGCTGGGTGAGCTCTTCTTCTTGCAACTCGTCCGGGTTTTCGTCATCATCAATCTCCCATTTGTTTAGCAAATCTACAGCCTTCACCATGTTTCGGCCGTTATCAGTTGTTATGCTGTAAATCTGTTCCTTTTTGATGCAAAAATCATCCATTATAGACTGAACTTCGGAGCAGAGATTTTGGGACGTATGGGATTTTGTTAGCTCTATAAGACCCAAAGTCTTAATAACAATTTTTCCGTTTTCTATAAACTGCACATTCACTCCGAGGATTCCGCGATTGCACCTCGTTGCAGTGTCCATTTTAAGGCAAATAATACGAGATTTTAAGGCATTTACAATTTTGATTTTAATCGAATGGTACCTTTCCTCCACTAGTCCCATTATATTTCGGGAGGTAACCGCTGGCATGTTCAATCCACAAAATATTTGATTGGTCAATGTCTTGAAACCTGTGGAATCAAAGACAGCCAATGGAAGTTTTTGCTTAGTTACCAAATCGATGCACGCATTCTTCGCTTCGTTTCGGCCCATTGTAACTGAAAACTTTACTTTTTTTTCTTCCACCTGGTCATCTGAGCTTCCGTCATCATCTTCATAATCACTTCTATGCTTGGCTTGCAAATGTCGCTTAAGGTTGGAAACGTAGTTACCGGTTAAAGTAATTTTGCAAATTTTGCATTCTGAAATATTTTTTTCCGTATTATATTCAAACAAGAAAGGAAGCTACCTTCGGCCAGACGAAGCTTATATACCCTTGCAGATAAAGTAATGCTCACTCGGTGCAGTTCCAGGGATTCCAGATTCAGCGTTTCTATTTTTGAATTTTGTTTTTAAAGAGTCAAGAATTAAAACGCCTACTTCCTACAAAGTAACAATGAATTTTCTTATTTTCTTCCTTAAGATATAGTGGTCCGATTCGGCTCGCTCCGACATATGTACTACCTGCAATAGAAAGAAGACTTTCGGGAAAGTTTCATCGCGATATCTTTAAAACTGAGAGACTAGTTCGCATAGAAACGGACAGACGGACAGACGGACCGACGGACAGACGGACATGGCTAGATCGACTCGTCTAGTGCACTCATAGAAATTTTTACCCTAAATCGCCCTAAAAAACTGACTTTTCGCCCGTGGATTTAGAAAATCGCCCATAAATCGTATCCGCTGGCGATTCGCCCGTGTATTTAGAAAAATTTTCTAAAAAATCCCTATGGAAATTTGGTTTAATTTAGGGTGATTTTTCTTGTATTGAGAAATATTTTCCTATTTTTAGGGTGATTTGCCCTAAGTTTAAGGCGTATTTTTCTAAAAGTAAGGGCGAACTTTCTGTTTTTAAAGGCAAATGCCCTAAAAAATTATGCAAATTGTAAAAAATCGTGTTTGAGCATGCTTAACTGAATTTGGGAAGCATGAATTTTAGTCGTGTATATTCTGGGAACTGGGACTGCTTTAATTAAACAACACCGACGGAGGAGACCGTTGCATATTATTGTATTGGTGTGTAGCTTATATGGGAGCTGCGTTAGGAGGGGGGCCCGATCTATACAACACAGCCGTTAGAACTGAAAAATCATGTTTGTAAACGAATTAGGTAAATAAATATGAGGAGAAAAAACAACTTACTTTTTTTGGTCATTGCGAGAATCGAACCCACGACCTCTCGGTTTAGAGTCTAACGTCCTACCGCTGCACCACAGACCCATCGCGCAAGACAACGAACAAACTCTGCAGACATCTTATTTTCCTGAGGTCTACGTTATAATTTGACTAAAGGCAACTAAACCGAATATTTTTTTCCTGACGACTGTGACAATTAGTCCCGTTTTCTTGCCAGCAAACACAAAGTATGCTTTTAACTCAGAACTCCCATACGTTTTTAAGGTTTAAAGACTACTTTAATTTAAAATTCGGACGAAAAAATGTCCTTAGTATTAGAACATTTACAAAAAAAAAAAACATAAAAATCAAGTTGAATCACACAGGGTTCGAACCCACCACCCCACGACCTTAGTCCTCATATAGCAAAGTTGAAAGCGCAAGTGATTAGACCGCTGGGCTACCGAATTTCACACTTTTGGAGTGATTTTTAAGGCGAATCGCCCTTGTATTTAGACAAATTTTAGAAAAAAAATTAGGGCAATTCGCCGTTGGATTTAGAAAAGGTCAAAACGAAGCAAATCGAAAAAAAATCGCCCTAAATATTAGAAAAATAGAAAAATTAACCCTAAAAATATTTTTTTATGGTCACCTGCCTTGAATTTATGGCAAATTTGTCGTGAAAATAGAAAATTTTTCTCAGTTCAAGGGCGAAAATTTTTTTAGGGCGATTTTCTAAAATGTAGAAAATTATTTTTATAAGTGTGATGCTGATCAAGACTATATACTCTTTGTGTGGTCGGAAACGTCTCCTTCACTGCGTTGCAAACATCTGACTGAAATTATAATACCCTCTACAAGGGTATAAAAAGTTGAGTAGGGTAGTATTACGCTTGCGACCCATATTGATACCGCACGAAAATAAATAAATTGTTTTTATTAATAACTTATAGATCCAATGTTACTTTATGAATACTGACATATATCTCCCTGTTCGCTCTGGGAAAGTTGAGCTGATTACTTAATACCTGAACGCGTTCCTAATAACATAATTAAAATCGTATCTGTATGTTCACTCATTTTAGTCACTCATTTAGACCTATGTCTTTAAGTAGGTTCTATGTTGAAATCGATTTTTTAAAAACCGCGAATTCTTAAGAAGAAGACGATACTCAATCTAAGGACCTTTTTCTATAGTTTGTTTGACATTTTGATCGATTCTTCAAAAACCGCGAATTCTTAAGAAGAAGTGGATGCTTTCTCTAAGGACCTTTTTTTATAGTTCGTTTCACATTTTAATCGATTCTTCAAAAACCGCGAATTCTTATGAAGAAGATACTTTCTCCAAGGACATTTTTCTTATAAATCGTTTGACATTTTAATCGACTCTTCAAAAACCGCGAATTCCTAAGAAGAAGAGGAGCTGATTGTGTGGATACTTTCTATACCTAGATTAGTGGACTACTGAAGATATGAAAAAGTAGTGGTATTTTGGTAAATGTGGTTCCAGGTTGTGTTGAAGAACTCGCGGCCTTAAGTAGTTCTTCTAGAATGAGAAGGAAAAGAGCATTTAGACTGAAATCCATGTCTTAATACATAAACAACATAAGACATCATAAACATAAACAAAGGCTACACAGAGAAAAAAAAAAAAGAACATTGCACTTAAATTAAGAACATTCGTTCTTAAAAACCGGGTAAGCACAAATGTTCTCATTTCGACTCGAATGTTCTCAACATCAGAACGAAATGGTGTTAGCTAAAAATCTGACATTAAGTTCATTTCGTTCTATTTTCAAGTTGATTTTGTCCTTAATTCAAGAACATTTATAAATAAAATGGATACAAAAATAAGTTCATTTGTTCTATTTCCAGAACATTTTGCTCTCAATTCTATAGCATTTTGAGTTTGATTTTAGCTAAAGATTTAGTCTTTTAGGATTAAAAGTAATTTATAAGTAAATTCTAGAAGGTAGTTATCCAATTACCTTTTCCAAAAGTGACTTAATCCTACACTTTTTAAATGTGCGGGTTGCACTTGACTTCCAGCTAGTGTGGAAGTTTATTAAAGATTTAAGCCAGAAAAAAATCTTAAAGTCTCCATCTGACTTGGGCTTGGTTCATAAGGGCTAGACCCAGTTGGGAATTATATATAAAACGAAAAGGGCAAATCTAATGGTAAGGTCGTATTGGAGCAAAGGAAAATGGCCTAATGCGCGCTAGGTGTCAAACGAAAACATCCTAACGCGTTCTAGGAAATCCACAAAAATTTGAGAATAGTTTTGAATCATTTTAAGTTGAAATGCAACTTCAGTTTTGTTCTTTCTTTAGTCCCTTTCGTTCTCAAACTAAGAACATTTTGAGATATTATGGTTTTTGAGAACAAAATCGATTTGATTTAAGAAACATGTGCTAAAATAATAACGATTCGTTCTTATTTCAAGAACTTTTTAAGCTCAACTAGATTTTAAAAACCAATTCAACTTAATTCAAGCACATTTAGACCATTTTGAACTTGAAAAAGGCCTTTCTTTTTTTAAGAACATTTTCAACACAGATGAGAACGTCAGAATTTTCTCTGTGTAGAAGTATCTCCTTTACTGACTAAAAGAATGATACCATTTAACGGGATGCAGAAGCCAAGCTCAATTTTTTTTTTCAGAGGTGGTACGTCTGCATTCGCTACATAGGTAAATGCAAAAAAACGCCGAAAATCGGTACAGCAAAGCCGTGGCGTCCAAGTGAGTTTTATTTCTGAGCGAAAAAAATAAAAATCAACAATAATCATTATTTTTGAGTTTTATTTTTTCCGATCAGAAATAATGATTTTTGATTTTTATTTTAAAACTCAAAAGTAATGAATATTTTTTAGTTTTATTTGTTTTGCTCAAAAATAATGATTATTAAGTGAGTTTTAAAATAAAACTCATAATGATTACGGTCCCTGAAAAAAAGTATATAAATTGAAACTTAATCATTAACAATGAATTATTATTATATAACTTATTATGTCTCAAGGTCCTTGATATCAAATCCTTATATGGAATAGAATACGGCGGAAGCCAGACAAAAGAGAAATACAAGAGTATTTGAAATTGTTTATTATTTATTTTTAAATTGTCAATCACCAAAAATATAAATGTGCATTGGTCTATAAATGTAATAATGAAAATTATAAAAATACATATTTCATTTGTAATTTCATAATATTAAAAACTTTTATAATTTGTATAATAATTAAAAAATACCGAACATTTTAAAATTGTTCAAAGGCGCTTTTAACCAAATTTTACGTTTTTATAGAGGGGTTTGTAATTGACCTATTTAATATTGCCAAACTATTATCTAGTTTGGTTTTTAAATTTAATTTTTAACTTATTGCAACTTAAAATGATGAAGTGGACTTAGTATTACTACTCAATATGGTATATTTCATTTACATACCACATCTAACGTATACGATTATTCTTTTATAAGTCCTCTATTCCCCTTGCCATCAGTAATAGTTTATCAATTATTTTACATACACACAAAGTAGTTCCGCGGATAATACGATTATTAGTTTATTCAGTTTATTGTCCTCTAAGTTAATGGGAAATAAACAAGTACTTCTACACTACCGTGGCTATATAGGTGCATAAGACAGGGAACTCCTTACGGCAAAGGCTAAAATTGGATTAGTATTTTTACAAACAGTGGCTATTTCATAGAAATAAACTAGATTTTATGGCTATGGCTACGGGTTCGAAGTCTTCGACAACTAACACCCCATCCCGAAAAAAAAAACCAATTCGATTGCCGCCTTATCTGTGGCAATAGCAGAACATCTTAAGGGCCGGATCGTTGAGGCAGTAGCTCTGGCTTCCGTACAAATTCAGCCGGCTAATGGTGCCCGTGAGAACGGTCGTATATCCCGTCATTCGGACCGTGGACTCAAAGACCCCCAATCCTGGCTTAGTTTGCAGGCGCAGGGTAATGTCCACCGCGTAGTCCGTGGATATGTTCTTCACGATCTTCGAGTGCGGCGCCGCAATGAGGGCCTGCAAAATGGAGTTCAGGTAGAGGGTCCTGCACTGGGAGCTGTCCTTCAGCCGGTTGTTGATCAGACGGACCAAATACCGCGCCGCCCGCTGCACCCTGGGATCGTTCGTCTGCAGCTCCTGGCGCTGGTGACACGTGCACCAGTGGGCGGCAATTCCCGCCTGCTCGCAGGTCCTCGTCGCCGGGATGGGCAGGAACAAGCTGATGCCCCTCGGCAGCGTGCTGTCCGGCTCATCCAGCTCGGCTGATCTGCGCAGCAGCTGATCCGCCTCCAGATTCCGTGGTCTCAGCAGTTCCACCATCGTGGCGTGGACATCGAAAGGTGTGGTTAGGCGGCGGGCATTTAGTCTCAGATTGGCGATAGCCTCCGGATAGCGTTCGTTCATCCACGGTGGATACAACATAATCATCAGGGGCTGGCGCTCCTCCATCATTCCCTGGTAGGTTCGTCGAAAGGAACCCCAACGTAGTCCGTGATCGGACAGCAGCATCACCACTGTCCGATTAAGCACTCCCGAATCCTGTAGCTGCGTCAATTGCGTCAACATGGCCTGATCCAGCAGTAAGGGGAAGTTGAAGTAGTCATGCGTGAGGGTCACCGTCCAGAAGAAGGAGAAGTAGAGATCCCGGCTCATTCGCGGCACCAGCTTCCTCAGGTACTCCAGTAGCACATCCGCCGTCCGCCGGCTGCCCATGCACAGGTGCATGTTGAGGTCCTTCTTGAAGGCCAGAACCTTCTCCATTTCCATGATCATCGGGCGCAGATAGTAGTCCGTGGGCTGTTTCCTGAATCCGTTTTGGTTGTAATTAAAAGCCGACAGCAGGGCCACATCCTCGGCGAAAACGGAGCGATAGCCCAGCTGCTGGTAGCGCTTCCAAATGAACAAGCATCGATCGTAGGACTTCATCGTTTTGGGTGTGCAGGCCAGATTTAGTTCCTGGTCATCCAGACCGCTCAGCAGGGGCACTATGTTGGGGAAGGTGTTGTCGCCCACCTTATTGTAGCCCCACATTTCCACGTGCGACAAATGTTTCCGGATGTAGCTCGCTGTCTGGCGCATCTGCCGCAGAAAATTCAAGTGCGACAGACTGTCCATGCCGAGGATCATCACCGAAAGACGTTCCGGCTCATCCTTGCTTTTATTGAAGCTGACCCTATCGGTTACGGATTTGGCTGGCGGTCTGACACGCGGCTTTTCCACCGCCAAAAAGTGGCAGTCCTTGTAGAAAAGTTTGTCCGAGGAGTCGTAGCACCGCATGCAAAAGAACTCCAAGCCGGGCGGCAGTTTCACCACCTTATCCAGCTTAAAGCTCACAGCCGGACTGTAGCTGTTACTGGAATCGGTGTTCCGTCTAACCTCCGTTAAGTTGCAGTTAACGGAGGACAGGTCGCTTATGTTGTAGTAGGTGAGGAGGTCACTGGCATCCAGATTGAGGTGCAGCTCCCCGGGCACCGTGTCACTAGTCCGCACGAGAGCTCGGTTGCAGCTGTAGGGACGCGGCTTGAACATGAACTGGGCAATGGTGTCGTCGGTGACCTCGAAGTGCGGCATCCGACAGCCGGGAGTGTCCACGAAGTAGGCCGTGGTCACATTAACGCCGTAATGGTCCTCGATGCGGGCCATAAAATCGAAGCCATCGCGGAAGCGGAGCAGCTTCGTCCTGAGATTATAGTCCACGCACAGGTAGGAAAAGACGCAGAGGCAGAAGATCACAATCACTATCTTCTTGAACTGACCGCGACCCTTGTTCATGTTGTAGTAGCGGTAGTATTGCTGCAGGTCCCTCTTGGTCATAAACTTCGGATCCAGCAGGTATTTGCCTCTGTTGAAAAGCAACCGGATAGTGATTAAGTTGATTTTTATGTCTAGCAGGAAAAGCCAAGGGGAGGTGTTTGAGATATAGTCAATATATGTGATATATTGAGCTCAATTAGCTTTGTGAATTTTTGCTTTAGTTTTTCTTATCATACCAGGAATTAGGTGTCCTTTTTTCATTACCTCTAATTTTTAATCTTTATTATCTCTGAGTAACACTACTGCAATTTTGTTTGAATGATTTTGGTTCATTGCCTTCGTAACTTACTTGAGTTCCTCCCATCACCCGCTGACCCTTCCATATTTACCACAATCTTTGTGGTAGGTTCATTGTATTCTGTACAGAGCTTAGCAGCTTTTTATGCTGACAGCCATTAATTACGGCAACAAACAATATAATGAATGCCCGAGACAAGAGAAGCGTTCTGAGTGGCCACTCAGCCGAAAGTCCTTAATCCGCTGCCCTGCCCACCTAGACCATCCTCAATCCACTTGGAGGTCCAACGACCCACCTACCGCATCCCTTGAAGTTAAGTTCCTGTGGCAGGAATTGCAGGAGAACGTGATGCTGTTAATGTATTTAAATTTAAGCCTGGCCTAGCTCATGAATATGCAGTCGAAGAATGCCCAAGAAAGTAGGCAATAAAAATTGAACACTCAAAAACTTTTGCTGTGAAAAAATGGTATGATCTTAAGATGATAAGATAATTTTGAAAGCTATTGTTAATTTAATAATTTTTCCTGTTTGGAAAAAAATTTGAAAGAGAGTATAAAAAGAACAAATATTTAAAAGTATTTTTAAAATGCCTATAAATTAAATCATTAAAAGAATAAATAAGTCAGAGAGTACCTTAAGTTTTATCTCATTTCTGCACCTGCAACTCTTATTTTTTCTTTGGCCAAAAGAAATTTATTCAATAGAATTTCCTCCTCAATCTATCCGATTGTGAACAAAAAAACAAATTTTCAGTTGACACATGGAATTGCATTTTATTCGAGCAGGCACACGAAAAGAGAAGGAATCGAATGGCTTTAAAGGACGAGGAAAGAGGATAAGCGTTGAAATGGCATTCGGCTTTTGAAGCTCCAAGCAAACAAGCGATGACACACAATGACACACCTGTCCTCTGTCCTCAACACCCGAAAACCGACCTCCCTTTTTGGAATCCTTTGATGTTGAATGTGGGGCTTCCCCATTTCGGTACTTACTCATAGCTCAAATCGCCGTATTTTCGCATATCCTTCGCAGTGTAGTAGGTACGCATCTTGGCAACACTTGCGGATCCTGATGCGCCCTAAGTCCCGTTAGTCTCGCCCTTCTTGGCACCCTTATCCGCCGCCGCTCAGGCCCCCTTTCGCCCCTCGGCTCAAGTCCTTGACATCCTGTTTGCTTTCTAGTTAGTCCGACTTTTGTTTTGTTTTCCGTGCTCTGCTTATTGCGCTAATTGTTTGTGGGCCACATTTTATGCACTTTCGATACAACAATTTTCACACGACTGCACTTGCTCGGCTCCTTGCCTCCGCATCTCCTTCGTCCTTCTTTTTTCCCCAGTAAGTGATGTTGTTTTTGTTTGAGTTTTCAATTTCCACGCTTTCGTTGCGAATTACTGCAAATGTTGTTTCCGTTTCAGTTGGCTCCTCATCGCACACTGGGTTTCCATAGGAATCGGACTCGGACTCGGAGGCTGCAGGCTCCCAGTTGACTGGAGGATTACTGGCTCTCTTTCACTCTCCCGCTCTCCCAGTGTTTTGACAGTCCCGTTACTCGGGTGGTGGGTTCGGGCGCAGGCGCGTGTCCTTATCCGTGACAGATGCTCCAGGGATGCTTGGAAAATAACACTCGGAGAAATTAGCAAAAAAGAGTTGGCACTAGGAAAAAAAAACAAGAGAGAACGCTATAGCCGGGTTTGTGTCTAATACCCGTTACTCAGGTAAAGGCAGTGCGAGGGAGATAGAAATAAAACATTTTTTTGATTGCGCATAACTTTTTAATGAATGGTCTGATTTAAAAAATGTCTTCTACATTTTGATAGGTATAAATATACACAACAAAATTGCATTTATACTTCTCGGAAATCTTTAAGGGTGTGTGCGCCAGTCACATTTTAAAATTGTTAGTGGGCAATTGTGGGCGTTAGAGGGGGCGTGGCGCTCGGCTGAAATAAACTTGCGCTGCGTAGGAAGCCCAAGAATGTGTGTGGAAAGTCTCAACCTTCTAGCTTTTGTAGTTTCCGAGATCTCAGCGCTCATACGGACGGACAGACGGACAGACAGACGGATATGGCTAGATCGACTCAGCTAGTGACCCTGTTCAAGAATATATATACTTTATAGGGTCGGAAACGCTTCCTTCTCCCTGTTACATACTTTTGCACGAATACAATATACCGAGTAACGGGTATAAAAATTAAAAAATATATATTTATGGGGTAACTTTAAGACCCGCTTTCTGGTCTCTATGTTAACTTGAAAAGTAGGGGAAATCATAGTCAAATGTAAGTCTTAATCCTTAAAAAGAAATCCTTAATAGAAAAATTTGAATATTTGTTTAGGAATTAGAAGTTCTACTTTAGAACTTTAGCACAAGCATATGACCTTTTTCAAAAATTAGTATATCTATTTTATCGCTAAATATTTTTAATGCTAAATATTTATGTTGTTACATAAACTAAGTTAGCCGGTCTCGGTAAAAGTAGAAAAACTACAATACGACATTCCTAAAAATATTTCATTTGAACTTTTTTTTATTTAACTTTTGTTCTATTTTACCAACTTAAGTTAAACTCACTTAAACCACAGAATGCCTTGAACTATAATTTATGCCTTTTTTACGGACTTTTATTGCGATTTGCATGTTTAAGTGACCCACACTGGGTAATTAATCGATGGAATCCTATTGCTTAGAAATGTTTTGTGACCAATGAACTTTGATGCTTATAACCCCTGCTGTTTCTTCATAGCAGGAATTCAACTTATTGTGGCGGAAAATTCACCTCATTATATTAATGAAAATACAAAAATGTAATATTGGCGATATGTACAGGTATAAACGGAAATCAGAATTTCAATAATTATTTAGATTAAAAACAATAAGGACATATTTTAAATAAATATCAGGCAACTAAAAGTGGTTTACTTCTAGGTCTTAATAGTCCGGCATTTTTGTAAGGGACTGCTCAAGATTCTCGTACAAAAAGGTATTGATTACGCACTTTCGAAACTGAACACGTTAGTTTGCATTTTAATGAGCAGTAATCCAAAATAATCTTCCTTTGAATATGGATGCACCATATTTAAAGGGTTCTTTAACATGCAAAATACTTAAGTCGCTCCACACAGGACAGGCATACAGGGACGCAAATGGGAGGACACATGCAGCGAGGAGTCAACTGAGTTCGTGGCTTTCCCACCCCAATTTCAACCCATCCCTTTGGCCAGCCTCTCATTTTTTGGGCTTAACAAGCAACAAGTAGAGGCGAATCGGGCCAAAGGACATTCACATTCCGCTCATTAGACGGACCTACCGAAAAAGCGCAACAGGCTGCAACCAACAGCCCCCAGCCTCCCACATATTTGTGGTAGATGTGTGTGCGTTAATAACTTGGCTGCAGGCAGAACATGGATTTCGGTGTTCAATAATTACAGCAACAGCCACGCCACATCCCCGGCCAAGGAGCAACAACAAGGACGCCGAGTGGGAGCACCAGTCGTAAATCAAAGTATGAAAAAAGCATTTCACTGTTGGACCAGCTCCATCCAGATTAACAAGCGTCTATAATGCTTCATTACTGTAAAAAATAAAACGAGCAGAAGGGAAATAGCCAGCAAAGCCAAGAAATTGGCTGCTATAAAAGCGTCGAACGCATAAAGCCAACGCTTCAGTTGATTTTTCAAAATTGTCGAACGCAGGACCGGCATTGACATTAATTAGTTTCCCCGCCCAGGAGCCGAACCAGAATGCATCACCCACCTGGGCCGAGACCAGTGCATGCTGATGCAGCCAGGCGCCAATCGGCCAGGAAGAGGAGTCTCAGGAGTCTGGCCCGAAGCCGGAACGAGGGCTACGGTTGCCCCGCCAGCAGAACCTACCACCTGCCAGCCTTGTTGATTGTCCTGCTCGTCCTCATCCAGAACTTCGAGCTGCACATGTGCCGGCAATTGATGAGGTACCCGGGCGAAAAACGATCCCCGGACAAGCTGCTCTCCATTGGCGGCAGTGCAGCGGGCGAGGTGACATTGCCGGGGGCCAATGCTACTCCGGCGGATGGCAAGCGGGCGGGCGGAAGGTCGGCTCCCAGCCAGCCGGAGGAGATTTTTAGCGCCCCAGCCGACGAGGGCTACGACGAGTATCCGGTAAGCGAAATCCCCTAAAAACGCACAAAGTGTGAGTTGTCCGCGTGGGTTGGTGGACACTCTCTGTTTTGAAGCCCTATCACCTTACACACAATTTGAAATTGTATATTTTTCATTTGATTGCTTTTCGGCTTGACCCTAAGCTACATTTTCCCCACCTGAAAGACGAGCTGATGTCACATCACTTTGATTATGCCAGGTGCATACTACTGGTGGGTCTAATGAGGGCTCGCTCGGACAAAAACACTTCTAGCCTCAAATTTAAAATTCTGAGGGGCCAGGTTGGATGCGTGGGAAGTCGGTTTCAGGTCCCTGGAAAAACATTAAACTAATTGAAAACGAAGTTAAGGAATTGTTTCTAACGTGGCACATAAAAGTCTTTACTTTAAATGTATGCAATATATGGTTTTTGTGGTTTAGAAAATGTTTAAGGTTTATACAAAAATTGTAAATGGGGGAAAAAAATCGTAGTACGACTTAAAAATAAAAATAAAAATCAAAATTTAATAATATTTTTGGTCCATGCAAAAGCTTAGTAAAAGTAAGAGGTTTTTTAATACCCTTCGAGATAAGTTTTTGATGTTTTAAGGAAGTATCAATAGTACGATATATTTTGTCTTGATAATATTACACGGTTTAAATCCACCCATTTTCTGAACTGAGATGCTTCCCAAAATATTTCATAACTTTACTGTATATTTTTTCCCCCTTTAGATGGTGGTCCCTAAACGGGCAGCTTTACTTTTGGATCGATTGATGGTCGCCTTGCATCATGCCCTCGAACAGGAGCGCAGTGAACAGCGGATTGGCGAGTTCTTCGGGGACAAAAACATTCTTAACGGTAAATTTGGCGAGTACCACAACGGACTGGAACCTCATCAAGTGAGGGAGGATGGTAAGTGTCTTATGATATGGTGCCGTGTTAGAGAAAATAAATTGAACGTATCGTAAAATTCAGGAATGTACAGCGATGATGATTCGGGAACAATGTTGGATTATGATTTCAAAGATTTGAACCAGATCAATCGCGCCACTGGCGAAACAGTAAGTTGGAACATAACACCTAAATTGCAATATAAGACATAAAATTAGCAGCGCGATGTGTAAGAAAATTTCAGTTAATGCCAAAGAGCTTTCAGAGAAGAGCGGGCGCAGATCGATCTGGAACCTCTACCATTTCCGGTTCCCCAGCTGGTCCCCGGCGTATCCAACCATCCGGATCCGGCGGTGGCCGAGCGTACTGGCGTTGCTATTTCAATGCCGTCAGCTGTTTCTAAAATAACATCAATCTAAAATCCAGCAGAAAATCCGCCACTGGAGTGGGCTTAAAGCCGAAACTATATTGAAAATACTCACTGATTTTCAAAGAGGTGACTACAAAAAAAAAACAGTTTCGCATTCCTTTCGTTGCTGATGTGAGAGTTGTTCGCGCAATTAACTGAAATCCCCGAGTTCTGTAATTTAATCTAGAGGTATCTATATCTAGTATCTGTATCTGTAACTGTATCTGTGCATTTGTAGCTCACTGTGAATCTGCGTTATAAATAAACACCCAACGATAAGTCCAACGGCATTCATAAATAAATTAATTCAAACACCCATACTTGTATGGGAATATAAATTCTGGATATTTGAGGGTAATTTCGGGTAGACAGGTAATCCTACCTATCCTGCCTAATGCTGATTGACATAGCCATAAATCGCAACTCTGGCAAATCCATCGCACGCCCTTAGTTCGTGTCCCATTGCGATCTATTTTCGGTAGGGCGTGCTCCGAGCGGAAGTACTACCTATCAATGCCGTTGTCAATATCAGGATCCATATCTATTTTATTGCGGAATTATAGGCAAGTTCAAACTTCATTGATGTATCTAAAGTACTGTTTTTATACCCTTGCAGAGGGTATTATGATTTCAGTCAGAAGTTTGCAACGCAGCGAAGGACACGTTTCCGACCCCAAAAAGTATATATATTCTTGATCAGCATCATTAGACGAGTCGATCTAGCCATGTCCGTCTGTCCGTTGGTCTGTACGTCCGTCTGTCCGTCTGTCCGTCCGTCGGATTGCATTATTACAAATAATGTTTAGTAATTTAATTGGTTTAAGAAAAATGAAGAAATATATATTTGAAAAATATCTATAGGTATTGATAAACACAATACAACTTCATTTGAATTTTAAGTCAAACATGTTTTTAAACATATAAATTTTTATATAAGAATAAAATCATAAATATATTATTACCAGGGACCGTAAATAACAGTTATTTGTGATTTCTATTTTAAAAAGACTACTGTGATATTTGGTTTTAAACGTCAAAAATAACTTTCTTTTTACTCTTGTCCACAAAGTATATGCATTTGAACAAATCTGGAAAGCAAATTAACTGTTATTTGTTCATGTCTATAAAGTGCATAAAAACCAGTTAAATTGTTGATTAAAACTTGTACAAATCTCAGTAGGCCTTTTAAAATAAAAATCACAAATAACTGTTATTTACGGTCCCTGATTATTACCATTTATTTGTTTGCGATCTCTAAGTTTAAGTATTGTCACTATAAACAAATTGGATAATAATAAATAAATTGAAATGCTTTGCCCATCAGCTTTTTTAACCCTTTTCCAATTCCTCCTTTCAACTAGCTACCCCTTCATCAGGTAAGATTTTCCGCTTCCTTTCTTTGTCCTCTTTCTATGCAAATCAACCACTCTAACTTTTTTCAAACTATCCACCGCCGATTGCCAACTCAAAGTCAATGCATAATATTATCTGTGGGTCGACTGCCTTCTAATAATCAACTGTTAAACTGAACTGGCGATCGGTTTAAGTGTACAACGCACGTTTATTGCCTGGCCACCTCGGCTTGGTCGAATGGCAAAGTTTTATTGGCCAATAGCGGCCATTAATGCGTTTGTTGAAGCACACATTAATAGACTTTTATGTACATACAATTGCCGCCGTTAATTGATGGCCCGGCCGCGCTTGACTTCAACTGTTAGCGAGAACAAAAGTCGCTTCCCAAAACCACACACAAGTGGTAAATCCATGACTTATTTGTTGAGACTATTAGATCCCGGCCACCGACAAACCTTAGTTAGTTATAAAGAATATTATACAATATATAGGTATTATATATATATTATTATTCTTATGTATGCCTAATACTTATTTTGTAATTACAAATGGTCAACGATTAATATAATAACTATAATATAATATTTGTTTAATAAAATTAGAAATTTAAAACTTTTATATCTGGCTAAAGTTAAATTATTTAATTATTAATATTTAATAATTACTGCTTTTAGTGGCGGAAATACCTAGATGCAAAACCACCTTATATTGTTCAATTACCGGGCATAAATATATATTTTCGTGTGAGTTTGTGCTATAATCTCACTTCTGCACATGGCGCGATTTTCTTATCAAATGGCCATATATCAATGGCGGATGTAAAGCAACTCGTTGAGCCTGCTGTCCAAATGCATTTCGGCTCGTTTTCTGTAATTCGTACGTCATAGATAGTGTGCTGCTAAGTATGCAACAGGTTTCGTATGAGTCGAGTTAATCAGCAACAGGTGCCGTTACTCGCTGCTACTCACCACGCTGACCTGGTGGGTGGGGGTCCTTGTGGGTGGTCCACGTACTCGCCTCGCAGTGTCCATGTCCGTGTGGTGAATTAATAAGTCGCACATTGTTCATACGCCCCATTGTACGAGCAGGAAACACTTGGATGTTGACATTTTGAGTGTGTAAGCGACCTTGGGATGCTCTTTGTAGGCGACTCATTTAACTTATTTAATATTATTATAATTATCATTATTCATTTAGCAGTCCTACAAAACGTTATTGTTAATAAAAAATTCAAAAGCTTATTTTAGTTAATAAGTGATTACGAATAAAAAGTGTAAAGTAAAAATTATTCTCTAAGGCCATTTTTATTAAATGCTAAGATTTTCAACTGGGAATCGATAGTATAGTATAGCCCATAAAAGTGGGCTTTCATTCCCCTTGAATGACCTAAAAGATTTTTCCAAGATTGAATTTAAATGTGCAATCTGTTTTATTAACTAAGTTAGCGTTAACTGAACATTTTTTTATATTTGTAATATTTCAATTAGAGTTAAGAATATAATTGGGGGGCCTTAAAAGTTCTTAAAAGTTCCCTAGTCATATCTGATATCCAATGCGTGAGAGTACAATTTTTTAAGGATCTGTCCACCTCATGTATGTATGCCAGGTACCTAGAATAAACAAGTGTAAGTCCTGCTGGCTGCAGTGTCGTCTTGACATGAGGCATAAAGCTTTGCCTAAGCAGACGCCCCCTAGCGAATTACCGCCACCCAACGGACCGCCCTCTCAGCCTCCGGTTTTCCCGGCAGTTCGAGCTTCCTGCTGCTGCTGCTGTTCTGCTGCTGCCGGCGTCGCTGCCTTGGGTGCTGTTTGCTGTTTTGTATATAAAGCCCAGTAGCAGGCATCGCCAACATCGAGTTACCAATTTCCCTTCTTGGCGTTCACATCGAGAGCGACAGCAGCAACAAGTAAACCCAGCCAAAGGATCAGTTCAGAGGTTCACATTAGAACTCATAGTTGTTTGCACGTCACGGCAAAGTCAAACGCAAATAGTTCGCGAAATTATCAGATTGACAAATTTCCTGGCGCCAGATTTTTCTAATTCACCGTCGCCAATTTAATTGCCGGCGATTCCCAATCCAATCCAGTCGCAAAGTATCGGTGAGTATCGAAGATTCAGCTCAGCAAATAGTGTGTTTACCTTTGCCAATTGGGGTTTTGGCAATTAATTGAAATGAGCAGTTATGTGTCTCCCAGAATTAATTTGTGGGCGCGGAAATTGTGCCGCAGTTTAATTATTGCAGGGCAAAAGAATTATTGCCGGTGATATCACATCATGTGGGTTTTACCTATAACATCGGATAAAGAAGATGAAAGTCAATGAAATGGATCAAATGTAGCTAGCATTATTTTAATAATAAATTTCAGACCATTTTCCTTGCGATGAGAATAAAATAAAAATTTTAAGTCTATTAAAAGATAAAGTTTTTGATTATAATCAATTATCAAACTTTTTAGATAAAAAACAAGAAAGGAAGCTACCTTCGGCCAGCCGAAGCTTATATACCCTTGCAGATAAAGTAATGCTCACTCGGTGCAGTTCCAGAGATTCCAGATTCAGCGTTTCTATTTATTTAAATTTTGTTTTTAAGTAGTCAAGAATCAAAACGCCTACTTCCTACAAAGTTACAATGAATTTTCTTATATTTGTTTGAATATTCCTATGGGGGCCTTAAGATATAGTGGTCCGATCCGGCTCGCTCCGACATATGTACTACCTGCAATAGAAAGAAGACTTTCGGGAAAGTTTCATCGCGATAGCTTTAAAACTGAGAGACTAGTTCGCATAGAAACGGACAGACGGACAGATGGACAGACGGACAGGCGGACAGGCGGACAGTCGGACAGGCGGACAGACGGACAGACAGACAAACGGACAGACGGACAGACAGACATGGCTAGATAGACTCGGCTATTGGTGCTGATTAAGAATATATATACTTTATGTGGTCGGAAACGTCTCCTTCACTGCGTTGCAAACATCTGACTGAAATTATAATACTCTCTACAAGGGTATAAAAATTCATACGGGAACAGTTAAATGTTACATTTATAAAATGTATAATCAAAAATTGAATAACTGAAGGCCATTTGTATATTTCTCGTTTAAATTGACTCAACGCTGTTCCCCCTAAATTGAGTTCATAAAAGTTCCTGAAAATTGATGGGCCTTTAACAACATGGAAGGTAAAGAAAGGTTCGCTTTGCCCTTGAATATCTCCCACAAGTTGACGAATATATGCAGTTCATAGGCCATATATTACCATCCAGTTTCCTTTCCTCCTCCTTTTTTGTATTTTTTGTATTTTTGTTTTGAATATGCCAGTACAACCATTTCCTTGGGGACCTTTCCAGAGCCACCTAATAAGAGACCAAAACAGGAGCAACTGCTTCCTCTGCTCATTAAAAATTATGTGAATTATTTATGAAGCGTAGAAAAATCAGGCAAACGCACAAAACATTCACTTCATTTGATTTGGACTTCAATCTCGATTCGAGTTGCTGATAATAAATAACTTCACTCGACTTGGCTTGTCTTGGTTCGGATTGGTCGATTCCCGCCGAAACCGCAATCAAATTGCATTTAATATTTATTAGAATACGCCCACAGTTTTCATGGCGGTTTCCCTTTGGGCTTGTAGGCATCAATGAGGCAGATAATTTTCCACGAAAATGTTTATGGGGTGAAATCTAGCGGAGAAGAAGGAGCATCTTGTTTTATTAAAAAGCTACATAGTATAATTAGGTTAAATACACGACAAAGGATATCATTTAAATAATTAACTGGCTTAAACAAAGAAGAGAAAATGGTACTGTTGACCTTCTGGCAATGGCTTTTATTAATTGAACACAATGAATTGATTAGAAACCACAAATAGCTGCAAGAGTAACGTAAATTTTTTGTTCAACTTCCCACGTATCTTCAAAAATTCTAATCTAATCGGGTAAATAACTCATCCACTTTGAACCGCATTTTCCGCAAATCAGAACGTAACCGCAAAGAAAAAGTAGATCCCGAAGAAACTCGATACAACTTCAAGTGCTCCACACCCCTGCGCCCAAAAGGAAACATGAAAAACATTTTGATACGTATTTGAAGATGTCTGAAGTTTCCAGTTTTCGCTAACTGACTGACTGACGTAATTTTAATTTGCTGCCTCGAAAATATCATATGACCAGATAAATCACACGGCCAAGGACACGGCTATCGTCCTACCGGCTCCTGTCAGGCACACATTAATGAAGCCCACGCCAGGTCCTTCTGGCAAATATTTGCCCAGCGACATTTGTTCTTAGCTAATTTTAAAGTTCCTTTTGCCGCAGGCGGAAAATGTGACGAAAAAATGAACGAAACTCAAAGTGGATCCGGAAAAAAGCTGCCGGATTAGGCGGATTGCGGGGGAAAAGACTAAAATTCCCACGTGAAAATTGCATTTTCCTATTCTTTTTTCTCACCACCGCTTTTCAGCACTTGTTCAGCCCTTGCAACTCTTTCGCTGCGGCGGCGAGATTAAATTTCCAATTAACATTCGAGCATTATTTATCGGTGGCAATAAATGTGTCCTGATTATGTTTGCCTTTGGGTCCGGCTTTAGGGTATGGCGGCGGGCCCTGTCTGCTTTTGGCCTTTTATTATTCCATTTCATCTAGCTGAAGGCAAAGCTCGATGGTGGGCAGAAATTAGCCTCCCAGTCATTAGTTTTTATTTATCACCCACTAGCTGCTTAATCTAACAAATATTTTATGAGCTCAAAGTTGAACAGGCCGGGTTGTGGGCATTATAATTATCTCAGTCTGCCTATGTCCACTTGAAAAGTGTTTTAAGAGTTTCGATTGCACTTCATGCAAGCAAAGCCCGGAATTGTATCCATATGCCGTTTGGCCTTTTACCAGATGTACATATATCAACGTTTTTGTTGCAGAAATTAATGTTGGTGTAAGTGTTAATTATTTACAATTGACTGTTCTTTTGTAGATGGTAAATTTGTATTCTAGTAATTTTATACACTTTAATATTTGTTCAGATTCCATTTTAAATATCGTAATTTATTTATAGTCAAACTATTCCCAGTAAATTCAGAACTTGTTGTAGGTATTCCGTGTTCAGTTCAAGCTCCTTGAAATTTCTTTAAGAAAAACAGTTAATCTAAAATTCAGATTTTTCAAACCATAACAGCCTTCATAGTCCGATGCACTCACATGAGCAGCTGCTTGAAATTAAGGAAGGAGACACTCCCTTTACAGGACAACCTACAAGGAGCAGCAACATTTTATGAGCTGCACCAAGCAAATGAGACAAGTCATTAACGTTTACGGCCCACATCGTCGAGGTCCTCGATTGGCCACGTCTATGGCTTTTCATGCCAGCCCCGACGGTTCTGTGCCTCGTTTACCTGTTGCATGCTGATAATGATACTGAAAGTCATTTGATGACCTCATTTTTCCCGACTAAGCGAACGTATCCCGTGGATTTATGTTCCCATTCGTTTTTCAAGCTGTTTATTTATTCATGTCCTCTGGAATTTTTTTTTTTGATTTCACACCCACTTCAATTACCAATGATGTCATAATTTGTGTAATTTATGAAATTAGTTGCTGATTGTAATTGTCTATGATATTTCTGGGAGCAGAAATCGTATGTATTTCATTTGTTTTTACCTTTGAAGTCAATTGCGATTACATTAAAGGTTTGATTAATTAGGTATACTAGTGAGAAGGTAATAAAAATAATGAATTTTTTGGACTTTATATGCACTGAAATGCGGAGACTTAATCAGATAAAATATGCATTTAATTAATATGTAAATTGCTTGACTATTTTGACACCTTTATTTATGATGCTAAATTTGTTTTATTAATTAGAAAAGATAACGTTGAGATGAACAAAAAGTTAAATACGTCGCTTGCAACATTACAAAAGTTAACTACATTTCGAAAACTTTTAAGCGGCGGTAACCCATATATTGATTTAGACTTCAACTTTTGACTTTAATCTTTTAAGGAATTCATGTGGCAACTTTACCCTTTAGCCGTTACGATAGTGGCCATAAAAGTTACTCAATAAGTTCTGCAATATTTATTTATATAAAGGGAACCCATGTCAACATGTCTGATAAAGTCAATTAAAGTTTGGCCAACAAGGCTTGACCTTTATGGCCTTGTGTTTCGGCTTTTGTGTGGCTGCCACACGTTGCACCATCGACGTTGTATTACGGATGCATTAAGTGCGGCTGTTGCAACGCCTGAGTTGCAGTTCCATATCCGTTTTTAATTGCGGAAATGCACTTAAGCCGGGCTAAGGTGAAAAACCGGAGTCTGAGGCGTACTTTTCCCTCTGCAGCTCTCTTGAAAATATGCACGTCACGTTTGTGGCAACAAGTGTTCTGATTCACCCCAATCTGCTTTGTTACGAGTCCTTTCAAGCTCTGCTGACGCAGAAATGTAATAAAATTATAAGTATGAGTACAAAAAACAATTCCACTGAAATCTGACCTTTAATTAAAAATGTGGCTAGTGGAACTTTTCTTTTTTTTTGCTCATTCCCCCCTTATAATCCCCTTCGGGATTAGCCGGCGCTAAAGTCGTCGGGTTTCCCTTTGAAGTTGTGCAAACATTTGCATTAATTGGTATACACAAAAGTGCGTAACTATATTGCCATTGAATAATTTATCTTAATTGGTATAAACTTTGGAAAAAGTCTGCAAATCACTAAAAATGGGTAGTAATAAAAATGTGAAAAAAGTGATATTTTTAAATGTTTGTTCAGCTTATACTTAAAACATTAAAATTGTAAAATAATACCACACTATTAAAATAGAGTGCTTGCTAAAATATTGTAATGTATTTATTAGAAAAAAATATATTGGAGGAATATTTTCACAACATTTTAACAATTTGTAAAAATAGTATTTCTAAATATTTTGTTAATGAAAAGCGTAAAATCGATCCAGTCATAATTACAAGCCCCCATTCTTTACTTTTTGTCCAGTCCGCTTCAAAATGATGAAATTCGTGCAGATATTATTGTGCTACGGCCTGCTCCTGACTCTTCTGTTCGCCCTTAGCGAGGCACGACCCTCGGCAGGCGAAACAGGACCGGTGAGTAGAAAAAGTTGGAATGAATAAAAAACAAAGCTTAACGGATAAGCCCTTTTAGGACACCGATGGAATTGACGGACAGGACGTCGATGAGGTGCGAGGCGCCTACGGAGGAGGTTATGACATGCCAGCCCAAGCAATCTATCCCAACATTCCGATGGACCGGCTGCAGATGCTCTTCGCTCAGTACAGACCCACGTAAGTGAAGACAGCAATCCTCTATTGTAAATAGCTCCGATCATCCGGTTAATTTTATAGCAGTTACAGCGCCTATTTAAGGAGTCCCACCTATGGCAATGTGAACGAACTTTATCGGCTGCCCGAGAGCAAACGTCAAGTTAGATACCGGCAATGCTACTTCAATCCCATCTCCTGCTTTAGGAAGTAAGTATCCAGTCGGTAAGAGGACTAGCCCACAACCCACATCTCTTGGATAAATTAACAATTCAAGCATTTCAACAAACCAAAAATAAGCCAAAAACAAAGTTTAGCATAATGGATCACCAACAATTTTACGCAAATATTTAGTGCAATTAAACTAAAGCTAAGACTCAAAAATATGTATCCATTTATATATACACAAATATCCATAAAACTTATCTATTTAAATGTCTAAAAAATAAATAAAAAATGTTCCATTGTAGTTACCAAAAAAATTAATGTACCAATTTATTTAAGTATTGGCACATAAGATACAGATTACCATATTTCGTTTCTTGATTTACGCTTCGCATATGGTGTGGTAAAATAAAATATATTGCTTCCTAAAGCTATTCATGTATTAAGTACATATTCGAAATAAATATGTGCTTTTGTAAATTTAAGTGTCCCAGCTCTTGTATAATACAAAAAGTTATAAAATGACAAACTGAAAATTGTAACCTTGGAGTCATTTAATAAACATACACAAAACTATACATGTAAAATAAATCTCTAAAATAAATATATACGTATGAAATAAATGCGCCCAAATGTTTAAACAGAAAGTGTTTTAGTTATTGTACTATTATTGCACACTCTTTGTTTTATATATCGTCAAAACTAAAAATCTCCCACGATAGTCCGTTAAAAATCAGTAAATCCACGGGGACGAGGGTGATATCGGGTGAAAAATGCAAGGTATTCAAAATGAAAGCAACAAAAAAATTGTTCTGATATCACACGCTACAAGAAAACCCTAGATTCGCCACTGACAACGTTCAATATGAATTATTATTTTTATCAATGTTGATTCCTAGACATTTTAGAAATTTTTAATTTTCATACAAACAAAGATTTTTTAAAATTAAAACAAGAGAGAACGCTTTAGTCGGGTTCGTGTCCCGACTATCTAATACCCGTCACTGGGCTAAAGGGAGTGCGAGGGAGATGGATATATACCATTTTTTTGATTGCGTATAACTTTTTAATGAATGGTCCGATTTGAAAAATGTCTTCTACATTTCGATAGGTATAAATATGCACAACAAAATTGCATTTATACTTCTCGGAAATCTTTAAAGGTGTGGGCGCCAGACACATTTTAAAATCGTTAGTGGGCGATTGTGGGCGTTAAAGGGGGCGTGACACTCGGCTGAAATAAACTTGCGCTGCGTAGGAAGCCCAAGAATATGTGTGGAAAATCTTAACCTTCTAGCTTTTGTAGTTTCCGAGATCTCAGCGTTCATACAGACAAACAGACGGACAGACAGACGGAGAGACGGACAGACGGACATGGCTAGATCGACTCGGCTAGAGATCCTGATCAAGAATATTTAGTTTATAGGGTCGGAAACGCTTCCTTCTACCTGTTACATACTTTTGCACAAATCTAATATACCCTTTTACTCTACGAGTAACGGGTATAATTAGGAATATAGATTATAGCAAAATTGTAAATCAAACAAACTTTTTGATTATTACTAAAACGTTTTATTAATGAACAAAATTAAAAAGGATTTGAGAAAATTACACGGTGGGACACCCCTGATCCGAAGGCTTTTCATCAAACTGGTTGGCTTTTCCTGCACCCAGAGAAATTTGGGACTATTTTTTAGGTAACGTTTGACCTACAAAATTAAAATAGTCTAAAATTTCAGATTTAGGTAATGGGTTACCTGAAAATATTAGCATGTGGTCTATGGCCATCGTAACCTTAAAATTGGTCCATAAGAACTTAAATTTAGGAATTGTTTGAGTTCGATTTTTACTCACAATTCAATACAAATATTTGACCTTAATATTAATAAACAATTATTCGTTTTTTAACTTTAATATTTAAAAATATTATTAGACAGAAAAAGCTAGTGATGGAAAAGTTTCCACATAAAAAATCAATAGATATTTACACTATTTATATCGATATAGTCCAATGCTCGACGAGTCTGTCTGTTGTGTTATTAAAAAATCATTAAAAATGCACTGAGTAATTATTGTATATCTTCGGGACGGTGTGAGATATCTTTATGATGGTTTTACAAAAACAAAATCGATGAGATACGCACTTTGCTTTTCGGTTAGGCACATCTTTCTGATTAAGAAAAGGGCACTTACAATTTTTTGTGTGGTACCAATTTTTTTTAAAGTGTAAAAAACGTTTTTGACACTTTTTTAAATATATTGTGTTAAGTATTGGTATTTGGTATTGTGCAAGGGTATGTAACAGCTAGAAGGAAGCGTTTCCGACCCCATAAAGTATATATATTCTTGATCAGGATCACTAGCCGAGTCGATCTAGCCATGTCCGTCTGTCTGTCCGTCCATATGGACGCTGAGATCTCGGAAACTACAAAATCTAGAAGGTTGAGATTTCCCACACATATTCCTGGGCTTCCGACGCAGCGCAAGTTTATTTTAGCCGAGCAAAAAGCCCACCCTAGCGCCCACAATCTTCCATCAACGATTTTAAAATGTGTCTGGCACCCACATCTTTAAAGATTTCCGAGAAGTATAAATGCAATTTTGTTGCATATATTTATACCTATCGAAATGTAGAAGTTATGCGTAATCAAAATAATATATCGATCTCCCTCGCACTCCCTTTAGCCGAGTGAAAGAGGGGCCCTGCCAAAGGCCCCTATTTTCGCTGGACGCCCAGCGGTTTCTCTTACAAAACGTCAAAAAGTCCCTTATTGATAGCTGCAGTCGGCTGACGCTACGCTCGCTAGGGCATGTGTTGACCAGCAAATTTTCACGAGCAAGCCGTTTTTGTATGGGAAAACGCTGAGCGGCCACCAAAAATTTAAGAATGAATTAAGTTTTTATTTTGTCGTTCTGAACAGGAAAAGTCAACAAGTTTGATGAAAATCGGGCCTTTTGATAAGGGGATGCCCACTTGGGAGATTTTACATGCATATCTTTAAGTTATTATTAAATATTTCTGTCAAGTTTGTAATACCATTTTTTATAAAAACTATAAAACTTTTCTTTTTTTAACCTTTATTAAATTTTCAATATTTTTGCATGTTTTTGCTTAGCAATATGACTATTAACTAATACTTATAATTATAATTATTATTGTCATTTTAATAGTGCATTTCAAACTCATTTATAATTAAATCTAAATAATGGTTTCGTTTAAAGTTATTGTTGCCTCTGAGGCAGTATCCTTTTATTTTCCTTCGAGCTCACTCGGCATAGGGTTCCCGATTCATTATCACTGATCTATGGCTTTAGGGCCCTCACATTTCGATCACGTTGTCCAGTTTTGTTCTTTCAGATATATAAACGCCTCTTCTCCAGGTTTTTGGACTGACATTTAACACCGCGACGTTCCATTTTGATGACCAATCGATCCGGGGTGGATATCTTGTAGCCATTGCACCGCCGGTAGCGCTCCTCGATCTTCAGCGACGTGGCCACCATGAAAACGGAGAAGACCAAGGCGATTAGATAGCGAACAATTAGCATATTGTGACAAATGCTGCTGGCAAGCAAGACTGTTTGGGTGACAGGCTGCAGTGCGTCTTTTTATAGCAGGAGGTCCTTGGGTCTCTCTAGGTATTAGCTACCTGTCCTTCGAGACCCTTCCTTCGAGAGGGTTCCCGGGTGCGTTGATGGATTAGGACGAGGTTTTATGGCCGCGACTCGTCAATAAAGCATTCCGCGCTAATCCATTCGCTCATTTCCACTTCCTCTGCTCGGAATCCGCGATCCTTCGCGAATCCCCAGATGAACTGCACCCGATACAAATAAGGGAAAACTAATTGCCTTGTCTGATGAGTGGAAGTTCCAAGAAGGAGTCACAATGTCGACCTACCTGGTGGGACAGCGCCTTTATGATCCCAGTCCCTCTCTCTGTCTGTCTATCGCTCCTCACTTTTTCTGCCATTAGACATTTTAATTGTTAATTTTTGCAAAACGAAGTTGGGAGGGGGAGAAATTTAAATAATGGCCAAGCTGCAGGCATCGGGCGGCCGGAGCAGCGAGAATCCAGGAATCCAATGGCTACCTGCATTTATTATCTGCCCGACTCCACCCCGCCCGTTGATCTACTCGGGCCGAGTGCCATCAACGTGAAAACAAGTGGCAACAATTTTCTATAAATTGCATTTGTGCAAAATTAAGTTCAATCTTGGCAGAGTCGCGAACCAGTAGCTGTATCTCTTCGGCCAGCATCCGCTCGAGTCGCCCGATCCCGAGGCCCCTGATCTCCCCTCCACCTCCATCCATGCGATCTTTCACTGCTGGAGTAGCCAAACTCCATTAACTTTGCAATTGGCCACCATAACTCGTCCGTCGGTCGCCCGCCTTCCTTTTGCCCGTCGCCGTCACCTTGCCGCCCATTTGGCCGCCGCATCCACATCCACATGCACTCTACCTCTACCTCTGCCTTCACATGCATCCACATCCCCATCTCCATTCCCAACCCACAGCGCAGCAAGCGAGGTCCATTCCATTCCAGTCCAGTCCCGGCCCCATCGCTTGTTAGTTTTTGCGCCAGATCGTTTATAATAATTCGTATGCGAGTCATGTCATGCCCCTAAAGTGTATCTGCAACCGCGCAGTCGCAGCAGCATCAGCAGCAGCAGCGCAGCAGTCCAGTTGCCTCTGGCTGCGCCTGCGCAGAAGTCGCGGTCGCCGCGCATATCTGTATCTAGTTGGTAGCTCCAAATTGAGATGAGGGCGTGACACGATCCAAGCGGGAAAAAATTTATTATTGCGCACTTTTCTTGGCTTTTAAAAGGACTACGGGCCGTTTTCTCGTCCGTTTGTTAAATTTAAAGGAAGGTTAAAACCTTGATATCGTATGGGAAATCAGAGTTTAAGCCGTACTTTAAATTTAACAGGCGGACGAGAAAACTCCCATAAAGATGGAAAAGCATCATGAGAAACCAAGCTATTCTAATCCATAAGCCTAATATGACATTAAATGTTTGACTTCAAAATTAACATGAATTATATTAAGAAGGTCTTTATTGGTTAAACCCTTTGCTCATTTTTACCCAAAACAAGAGAGAACGCTATAGTCAAGTTGGTGTCCCCACTATCTAATACCCGTCACTCAGCTAAAGGGAGTGCGAGGGAGATGGATATATAACATTTTTTTGATTGCGTATAACTTTTTAATGAATGGTCTGATTTGAAAAATGTCTTCGACATTTCGATAGGTATGTATATACACAACAAAATTGCATTTATTCTTTTCGAAAATCTTTAAAGATGTGTTCGCCAGACACATTTTAAAATCGTTAGTGGGCAATTGTGGGCGTTAGAGGGGGCGTGGCGCTCGTCTAAAATAAACTTGCGCTGCGTACTCTACGAGTAACGAGTATAAAAATGTTGGAAACAAATTAGTCATTTAATGTGGTCATGTCAGTTTATTTAGTATTATATTATATTATATTGTTGGTGTAAGATCGAGACTGCAGGAACTATTTTGAATTGAGCAGCAGAAAAAGGTATCTTAGGTATACTTTCCAAAAAATACAATTTCCGTTGATGAAAGAGATTTTTCCCAAAAAGATTTCACAGATTTATAATGAATATATTAATTAAATGTATGCAATCGAGTCAAGATTTCGTGAACTAAATAATGTGTTGGTTCATTAATGCTAAGGACCTACTATGAAAATAGGGACGGTATAGTGTAGATTGCAAGAAAAAGTTTCGAAGTTTTACCGAGAGGTAAAAAATAGCAGTAGTGAACATGCACTATAATATTCGTTTATCTTGTCTTTATTTAAAAAATCAAAAACTTCTTATAGCAATATCTGTCATTTAAGAACATTTTTAGAAAGACTTAGATATTTTATTTTTGGTTCAATATATGTTCATACTTACCCGAGTTGCCATCCGAAACCTCTCAGTCACGAATCACGCTCACCTCTGGCCAATGGAGTGGCAAGTCTCGGGATAGCCTGCTCTCGCTTGTCCCGATCTGGTCAACTATGCAACCGGCGACTCGAACTTGACTTCACCTGGCTTGATCTCGCGCCCGTTTCTTTCTCGCATAGCTTTGGGTCGCCACCGCTTGGCTCTTTCTCCATCGCCCCGATCTCCAGTCCCTCCTCGATCTTCTCCTGCCCGTTGTCATACCACTTTATCCGCGGCGCTGTGTGCTGGTTTTTGTTCTATTGGTAAAAGGAAGTTAGAAAAATGCTCTCGATTCAGGGGCCTCTGGTCTTAAGTGAATTGTGCTGGATACCAGCTGGGCCTAGTTGGGATCGTAGGGAGGGAATCTGAAGATGGATTTGTTTTGGCTTAAAGTCATGAAACTTTGCCGCAGTCGTTGTTGATTTAAGTCGGCAATAGTGAAAGTTCAAAAAAATATATTTTTCAATGGAACGAGTTTCAATATGTTGCACATTGTTGATTTCATTATTATTATTAGTTAATACAAATTGTTTATTGAAATCTATTTCCTTTTTTTGCGCTTCAGCCCTATTTTTCTCTTTCCAAAAGCATTTTCATACATTACATTATCAAAAACATCTTAATATCACATAGAATTCAAACCAAATCTGTTAGAACATCATAAAGCACTTTTAACACTGATTTAATTTTTGGTTATGAGAGGATTCAATCCGCCAAATCGTTGTAGACAATTGCGCCTCTTCAGTGCCCCCATCATAGAATGCCTCAAAAGGGCAAGACAACAGCAGAAAAATGAAATTGCAAACAACTTGGGGTACTGAATGGGAGGGTGCACTGCGAAAATAATTATATTAAATTTGAGATAGGGCACTTCCACCAAAAAGTCCACCAAGCCAAAAATCTTGAAGCTTGAATAAAACATATTTCCAAATGATTTTGCCCCCATATTAGTTTCTAAATAGTTTGATCCTGAGCTTAGCTACAAATTTGTAGTATAGTTTTATTATTTTTATGACAAACCCCATTAATATGCGCAAAAGTTAGTTTTTGGCTTTTTTTTTATATTTTTTAGACCTGTCTTCAGTTGTAAATTTATCCTTTAGGAATGCTAATATGTGACATTAAAGAAATACACTTTACAAAACGCTAAGAAAAAATGTCTCGAGCGAATGTGGATGAAACTGCATAAAAAAAACCGCAAACCATTTTTGAGTAAAACCAAAACCATTTCACAGCGACATGTTTGGACAACATTGTAAAAAAAATCGCATTTAAATATTCCATCAGAATTCGCTAAATTCTAATGTTGAATGAACTTCCCCGAAAATCACTTCTATTTTTGTCCCGAGCGAATACGGCAGTTTTTTAAAGATATCATAAAAACTAAAAGTGGTACAAAATCAAGATTTTTACACAAAATAGAGCCTAACTTTAAAGGTGCAAATGTCCCGAGCGACAATATGAAAAAATCCCATATACATTTCCAAAGTACTTTTAATAAATAACAAATAACAATATAACCATTTGCTATTAAAAATCGTAGTAAATTTAAACGTCGTGTATAACCAAACAAAAATTTTCAATTTAATATAATTGTCAAGTTTTCAGGCTCTTAATTGCATTCATTTAGTTTCTAAATAATTAAATAAAATACTATTTTTTAGCGTGTGATCCAATTGGCTTTCCAACTTTCAGCGTAACCGGTAGTTGGAGTCGCAGCTCTTGGCCATGCCCAATAGCCACATCCACTTGGCCGTGGCCTAAACCATCGCCATCGCCATCGTCGTCACCATGTCATGTCGTCTTGGACCATGTTGCTATGTTGCTCTTATTTCAGAACATGACCGGCGTCCGATGGGAGGCCACAAAGGAATGCCTTAATTCAGGAATTTAATGAAAAATGCTCTATGAAGCGGTGCTGCAAATTAAAAACAGAAAAAAAACCGAAACAACAGCCAGGAAAGCGCACAGAAGCCATCGAGGTGGATTGAAGAGAACGAGAACAAAAAGGTTAAAATTAAAATCTGCGCTCACTTGTTCTTCTTAGTTAAGCACTGATTTTTAGTATACCCTGTTTAAATAGATCATTGGGGTGATTTAGTTGCGAATACTATTAAAGGGAGATTATTAATATAAGTGGTAAGGTAAGAAAACAATTTTTTACAAACTTTGCAAAAAATGTTTTCTACCCGGCTTTAAAAGGAAAAAAAATTCAAAGGTTTTAATTAATTTTTAAGCTTATTCATCTGAACTCTTTAGACTGTAGAAAATATAAATATTTTGTAGAAACGTTTTATATAAATTAATGGATAATTTTTAATCACGGCATGCTAGTAGCCTCACCGTCAATTTAAATATACACAAAAATATTTTTTATATAGGGTATACATAGGGTATATCCAACTCGATCACACTTATCCTGCCGGCGGGCTCCTGTTTCCTTTTTTTAGCTGCTTGGATTTCAATCCGCGCGCGATTCACTGGCGAATCGGTGGCTGTGAGAGCGGTGTGAGATCGGTGGCAGGTGATGCCGATGCCGTTCAACTTTGAGGTTGAGTGGCTCTTGATGCGACCGAGACCGACCAAAGTTGACCAGTTCCCCGGGCGAATATAATATCGAATGGGTGTTTGTGTGTGCGAAGTAGTCGCTGCTCCGCGTTGAGCGTTGTAAATTACATTTTCCAAATGCTTTTGCCATGTCGAACCAAAAAGCCATGTACATATGTGGCATAAAGGAGCGGCTTGGCCTGGCTGTGCTTCCGTTTTGATTTGGAACACTTGTTGCCTCCAATGTTGCATTCATTCGGACCGCTCTCCGCCTCTGGCCTTATAGATTGGTCCTCCGGCCAGAACGACAACCAGAAACATTCGTTCCTTGGGGATGTGGCCATTGGCCACTCACAGATACACACGCCAACCCGATGTTCCTACATGGATTCCTACATGGCATTTGGGATGCCCGATGCTTCTTCTCCATTCCTTTTTTATTTTTTTCGGCCCGTTCCCTGGTATGCGTATTTAAGCGTTTTGTTGTTGCCCTCGGATTGAGAGGCTGCCGTTGATTATGTTGTTGTAGTTTGTTCAGATTGTTGTTGATTTGAGTGTTGATTGTTGCTAGCGGAATGGGTTCGTCCCTCTGAGCTGTTGGATCGATTAGCTGAATGGTAGATCCGCTGGGGATCGGAAGTCACATTACACAAGTCGACAAAATCAAGACTTTTTCTTGGCCCAAGAATAAACGCTACAAAACCTAAAAGAATTATAGCTGTAGATTACTACCTCATCCTTGGAAACTTTCCAACACGTCGAAGTTTTTAAAAATCCGTGGTCAAAGATCCAAATTTTCGATTTTTAGGCACTTTTTGAGGCTTAATAGTAAGAAAACCTTTCGTAGCCCAGAGCCACAATTTAGAGGAACTGGTACCTTGAACCTTTAACTTCAAGAGTGTCCAATCACAAAGCTGGGCGACCTCTATTTCTTTAGCTACAATCGATTTTACAGAAGTACTTTTTGTCACTTTTTTTCATCTATAGTAGCCTGATATTTTCCTTGTTGAACTGAGACCCGTACACAATGTGTACTACACATACAATACATTAAAAATATCAGGCTACTATAGATGAAAAAAAGTTACAAAAAGTACTTGAGTAAAATCCATTGTAGCTAATGAAGTAGAGGACGCCCAACTTTGTGATTGGGCAATCTTGAAATTAAAGGTTCAAAGTACCTTTTCCGCTTAATTTTGGCTCTGGGCTACGAAGGGTTTTCTTGCTATTAAGCCGCAAAAAGTGCCTAAAAATCGAAAATTTGGAACTTTGACCACGGATTTCTCAAAACTTCGACGTGATGGAAAGTTTCCAAGTATGAGGTAGTTCTCTACAGCTAAAATCCTTTCAGGTTTGGTAGCTTTTATTCTTGGGCTTTTTTTTTGTCGACCAGTGTTATTGGTTGCGAGATCTTATTTCACCTTTATTTTAAAAACACCATGTTGACTAAAAACATTTCTTTGAATATTCCAGTATTTAAAAACAATCATTTATTTGGGATTTTTTATATTTTTATTTAAATTTAATTTCGTGGTTTTTCTTACTATGTTACACTTAGAATATTTTTTGTTTTTCAGTTGTAGGAAATTTAAGTACTAAAATTAAATTTAATTTAATTCGTTTAGGTAAGGAATGAAAGATTTATATAAAATTAATTCCTAAAATAATGATTCTGGTTCCAGGATCTCGAAGGTGGACAGCGGCTCGACGTTATTGCCAAAGTAGTTTGATCCACCAGGAGCAATCTCGGGTACCGGCTGATTGTAGAAACGCTCGAGGAACGGACTCCTGGACATCATCATCTTTGGACTGGCGAAGGAGCGCCTCTTCAGGAAGAACTCTCTTTTATGTGGCACCCTCAAGGGCGATATCTGGTCCATGATTTCGTTGCTCATCCTCCTCTCGGCCGGCAAGGAATTAACCTCATTGTATATCGAAGACCTCGACCTAGGGCGTGCCCAGGTAATGAAAAGCAAGCAGGCGATGACCAGGATAAGAAGGACAAGTTTAGAGCTCGACATCTTGACTGCTTGGCAGATGGGCTGAATGTGCTGAGGGGCTTGCGGTGTAGCGGTATTTATAGTGGTAAGGATATGCCCAGGTAGCCATTTTGGCTTACCCTCTAAGTATTTCATAATGATGCCATGTGTTCGGTTTTACCTACCTTTTATTGCCGACAAATCTGTTAGAAATATATAAATCCCGGAATCTAATATAGCTATAAATATTAGACATTTTGTTGTAAGTTATTGTTAAATATTCTTGAGCAAGCTCGAAAAAAAATATTTAATTTGTTGCTTTCTTGGACAATTTTTAAGTATTTCAATTAATCAATTTAATAATAAGTCCTACATTGTAAATTAAATGAAATATTACATTAAATGTGATTTCTAAAGTTTTTAGATTCTTTTAACAAGACATTCATATATAGGGGAGAGTGGGGGAATTTCGTCACAGGGGCAATTTCGTCACCTGCAATATCTCGGAATCCATAAGTCGTAAAAATATATAATTTTTTTGTTTTAGTCCTTCAAGACGGCCAGCCACAACTAATGCATTTGTTTTGCACAGAAGGCCAAGATAATAAAGCTATAATATTAAATGTGTTTTAACAGTTCAAAAGCTGTATGCCACAATTCAAAAGGAATAAGATACACGATTTTTTATATAATACACAGTGCTATAATGTGCATTTCTGCGTCAGTGATTTTTAACTTCGCGCCTAATTTTGGAAGAAAAATAATTATTTCTAAAAAAGTACTGTCTGGGGAAATTTCGCCACCCTACGCTAAGGGTAAAGTCGCACCTATTTTAAATACATATTTTTATATTTGACGAGCTGGCTAACGAACAGACTACCAGCAGCAGCAACAAATATAGGACGTCAACAAAAATGGTACGCTTGATCAGTGTAGCATATTTACAGGCGTTAAACTCCCTACACTTTTCAGGTGACGAAATTGCCCCGGTGGTGTGGTGATTTTACCCCCCTGTGTGGCGAGATTGCCCCAGTATATTGGTTTTACATTTTATTTTTTTATAAATCACCAAGGTAATTAAAACAAGAGAGAACGCTATAGTCGGGTGCCCCGACTATCAGATACCCGTTACTCAGCTAAAGGGAGTGCATAGGAGATGGAGAAAAACTTTGATCCGCCATAACTTTTTAACGAATGGTCCGATTTAAAAAATTTCTTCTACATTTCGATAGGTATTGATAAACACAATAAAACTGCATTTTTACTTTTCCAAAATATTGAAATTTTTAAAATCGTTTACAAGCGATTGTGGGCGTTAGAGGGGGCGTGGCACCCTTTTGAAACAAACTTGCGCTGCGTAGGAACTCCTATAATCTGCATGCAAAATGTCAATCTTCTAGCTTTTATAGTTTCCGAGATCTCAGCGTTCATACAGACAGACAGACAGACAGACAGACGGACAGACAGACGGACAGACGGACATGGCTAGATCGACTCGGCTAGTGATCCTGATCAAGAATATATATACTTTATGGGGTCGGAAACGCTTCCTTCTAGCTGTTACATACTTTTGCACGAATCTAATATACCCTTTTACTCTACGAGTAACGGGTATAAAAATAGGGGAATGTCACATTTTAAAGCTTGGTGCTAACCGCATTCAACAATAAAAATAGAAATATGATAACGTGTCTCAAGATGGACAAAAAATAGCTTTGAAAAAATGCTGACGAAATTCCCCCACTCTCCCCTACATATAAAAAAGCCAAAAATGTTCAACTCTTTTTATACCCGTTACTCGTAGAGTAAAAGGGTATACTAGATTCGTGCAAAAGTATGTAACAGCTAGAAGGAAGCGTTTCCGACCCCATAAAGTATATATATTCTTGATCAGGGTCACTAGCCGAGTCGATCTAGCCATGTCCGTCTGTCCGTCTGTCCGTCTGTCCGTCTGTCTGTCCGTCTGTCTGTCTGTATGAACGCTGAGATCTCAGAAACTACAAAAGCTAGAAGGTTGAGATTTCCCACACATATTCTTTGGCTTCCTACGCAGCGCAAGTTTATTTTAGCCAAGCGCCACGCCCCCTCTAACGCCCACAATCGCCCACTAACGATTTTAAAATGGGTCCTGCGCCCACATCTTTAAAGATTTCCGAAAAGTATAAATGAAATTTTGTTGTGTATATTTATACCTATCGAAATGTAGAAGACATTTTTCAAATCGGACCATTCATTAAAAAGTTATACGCTTTATAAATTGTCAACATATATCTATCTCCCTCGCACTCCCTTTAGCTGAGTTACGATTATTAGTCGGGACACCAACCCGACACAGCGTTCGCACTCCCTTTAGCTGAGTGACGGGTATTAGATAGTCGGGACAACAACCCGACTATAGCGTTCTCTCTTTTTTTTTTTTATAAATTCTACTGATAAGTGTTTAATGTTGTATTTATATAATGCTCTCAAAGGCTGTGGGCTATTTAGATAAACGCTTTCAAAGAGCAAGTACATTGAAATCCATCAAAACCCACAATTTCCTTGGCCATTCCACTCGGGGCCATCACTTAACCCATCCACCTCATCAATCTCGGACATTTGGCTAACTATCCGCCAAGCGATCCTTCTGGGGACGGAGTCACTTATAGTCGGAGACTCCACTCCAGTCCACTCAAGGCATCAAGATCAACTGGGATTGGATGCGATGCCATTTCATGTTAATCAAACAACGAAATCCATCAACAGGTGACACACACCGCCAAGTGGGCTGCTGGGAGGTGGGCAGTGGCGGGCGTAAAGGGGGTGGTGGACAGCCGCGACATCGAGCAGACATGTCAGTGCGATAATGGTGCTAGTGCTACTTCTCCTCCAGCGAACGGAGGCCAGTGAGTATCTAAAACAACTTCATTCACAAAAATCGGAACAACAAAAAAAGCAAAAGGAGCAGAAGCAAAGTAGCAGAGCATCTGCAAAAAGGAAGCTGGGCCATTAAAAATATCTTGTGGATGCCACGGCGAGGCAGATAGCAGCCGCCAGAAGAGAAGATGATGCAGCCACAAAGGCAGGGGAAGCCACTTGGTAGCATCATCATCATCATCATCGTCGTCGGTTTAAGACGCGGCTTTAGCTCCGGGAGCTGCATCCTCGAAATCCCCATCTGCGGGGGCGGTGTCGTGGCGGACGGGGCGGGACAGTCGCTGGTCGGTTGGTCGGTTGGTGGACAACGACAGCCTGGGGCACGAGCAGCTAAGGAATAGCCAAGAAACATACGCCTAATGCCACAGTCATCGACATCCGCCATTTAGCTAATTAACCCAAAGGATCTAAAGGGGTCGGGATTATAAAAGGGCTGCAAGAAATAACATTTGCATTCTTGATTAATTTTTCTAAAAATATAACTCTATTCTTCAGTTAGGGTTAAATAAATACGTTTATAAAAAAATTAATTTAAGGAAAATGTGGGTTTAGTTTTATACAAATAAAACATGTTGCTTGAATTATAAATTATCGCTTAGCGTTATAAAATGATTGTAAATCTTAATGCATCGACATAATCAGGTAAGCAAAAGGATATTTGGCGTAAAGAATATACAATTATTTAAATTTTTACATTGAATTAATTTAGTTGTTCACTATAAATAAATAAATAAAATACAATTAAATCAAAATTAAATATATTACGATGAGTTAGGAAATTAATTTTGTTTTTCATTAATGAACCGTCGACTTCAACGAAATCGGGTAAAATCTACAAGCACTAGCACCAAAGGGTTAAGTAGTCTTCCATCAGTCAGCGTTTCTCCCAACAGTCACCTAGCTCCTTCTCTTTCCCACTTTTCATGGCTTCTGACGCGGCTTCTTCAGCTTCTTCTGCTTAGCTCCTGATGCTGCTGCGGCTGCGCAGTCGCAACTGTCTGCATTTGTCGGCAAGCCTTCTCTTTCCCACCATCCTGCCGCCAGTGCCTCTTCTTCGCCGTGTTCGTTTTGTTCTTCTTCAGTCGATTGGAAGTCCAGCTTTCAATTTGCAACATAAAGCATCTTCATCGTGGGCCGCATGAATGGGCAAGTGTGTGGAACTGGAGGAAGGGAGTGGGGTGGATTGGGTGTGGGCTGGGAGCTGGTTCTCCACCTCTGATCTGGCAATCTCGCAATCCGACAATCCGACAATCCAGCAATCCGGCATTGACGGTAGGCACTCAGGCGTGCCCTGGCGGTAGTCGCTGACCTTTATTGATTGCTGTTTGACCTCGCCAGCCATTGTTGCTGTTGCTGTTTTCGCTCTTACTGTTGTGTTGCATCTCCTAACCATTTGTATTTAGCCGATCGCTGGCATAGATTGCACTTGGCTTGCACATTGCAAGGGGGACGGTAGGAAGGGGAGGTCGGAGTAGCTGTGGGCGGATGGGGAGCGGTACACGCCCACTAGCATCGCAGCTATGTCGTTTTGCTTTCTGGGCTTTTGAGCAACCTTGATTGTTACGGCTTTTCTATCCAATGCACTCAAAAATAAAGTTACTGCATTAAGAAAGTAAAACCGTAATACATTTCAATAGCCACGTATATTTTTATTAACTTTCAGGGACAGAGATAATCTAAATGACATAAAATCAAATGTAGTCCCAATTAATGCTTATGCATGCTTACAAGCTTACACGAACAAATTTTCTCAATTTAAGAACAAACGTACTTACATTTTTCTCTCTGTGTATAGGCCTTACCTATCATATGAATTATACTGTGTGACACCTATTAACATGAAATTTTGAAGTTCTTTTTGATCAACACTCTGGTAATTTATTTCTGTTACAAATTGTATTCTAAAGTTTTTTAAGTTACTTTTTCGAGTTATTTGCCAGAATATTTGCACATTTTGTATTTATGTTTATATGGTCACATTAAAATTTAAAAAAATGTGGAAGAATATTAAAACTTTGTCTTCCCAACGTTTTCTTCAGTTATCGTTTAAAATGTTTTTACTGCTTACATTATATTTTTGAATATATGTCCTATTTTTCTCTCTGCTCCCACTCTTACTCTTGTTA